AACCCCAATCTATTTCGGCATATCGTCAGTCCGTAGCGTATAAAAACGCCATTCGATTTACATGATTCAAAAATTTTGACAATTGTCAAAAACAATGCCAAAACTTTTTTTTTTTGATATGACGGTTAAAACAAGATAAAACCGTCAATAGTCAAAAACTTTCCAACCATGCCCAATTATGATATTTTTTTAAAGTGCTTAAAAATATTTTTTGAGTGCTTAAAAAGTGCTTATTTTTTGTTGAATAATTTGGCTATGCACCCTGTTATGGAAACCTTCCAGCTTGGAAGCGGGGGCTGCAGATTACAAGAGCCAATTATAAAAAATTGTCACAGCATCTGAAGATTTTTTTTCCACTTTAGATTTTTTTTTAAAACCTTCAATAAAATAACTTTCAACTCCTAAACACAATTGATTACTTTTTGTTTCAAGTTCTAAAAATTATTTATTTTGAAATCTGCAGATATAGAAGCAAACAAAAAAAGATGACCCTTGAAATTTCCAACTGATACTCTAATTAACTAGTATTTCGAAAAATTAAGAAATTAATCGACACGAAAAATTTGAAAATCTTGATTTCTGAATACTGTAGTTGCTTATTAATAGACTGTTTACAGACTTATTTCATATATTTTTACTTTTAATTATTCCATTAATTTAAAATGAAATAGGAATTTGAATTAAAATTACAAATTAAAATATTTTTTTTTTGCGTTTAACTTTTATCTACTCTATATGTTTTGATTTTGCAGTACATATATTAAGCCTAACTTTTATAATAAGTGTCAGTCTGATTGTGTTACGGTTGCAAGCAAATTTAAATTTATGAAAACTGTACTGCAGATTGGCTCTGCTACTATGTATGCATATATATATATATACATCTATGCAGATAAATAGCTGTGCATATATATATAAATATATATCCAGTTATTTCACAAATCTTCAACATATATTGCCTACCTAAATATATTAATTTTGTGAGTGAAACAGATTGCAAAATAGTACTTCTTAAATCAATAAAATTGTGCTATTTTAAGTCCTTAACTAAACGTTACTTTATTAAATATGTACTTGCTCACATTGATCATTTATGATATTTTTGATAAAATTTATGTTGATATATTATTTATGATATTTGGTTTTATCAAACCTTAGCTTGAGATTTTTTATTCCACCAAGATAATTTTCATTATATTTAGTCAAAAATAATGCTTGCCAATTACAATTTATTAGAAAAACTTATTTTAACATAGTATTTTTTTTTAGTAAATCCTTATGCTACCATTTTTTAGAAATTGTTTGTCATTTTAAATCCAACTCATATAGTTAAAGGAAAACAAGGTAAAATTTTAAAATCCCCCANCCCCCCCAAAAAAAAGCATTTTCACATGTTTTAACACCATGACTGACTTTGTAAACATATTAATTTAAAACGTTAAAATAGAACAAAAATTAGTTTCTTCCTTCTTAATCCATAAATTGATAAAATTGCTTAATGGATCTGTGTAATTTGTAACATACTGATTCAGTGGCTCCCAATTTTTTTCAGCTGTGGAACCCTAAATAATCAATCTTTTGGCAGAACCTTAGCTTCTTAAAAAAATACAATTGTGAATGGTCAATTAATCAATAAAAACATTGTGAAATATTTAATCTGAGAAATGCAATTTTTTTATCATTAAATTAGGTTAAATTATCTATCGGTTACATTCATAATCTTGGAGCTGTATCTAAACTAGTTATGTTTTTTTTTCTTTTTCGGATGAGATGAAAATTAGTAAGAACAACCTGAATTTCGGTTTTCTTTCAAATGAAAACTAAAAGGAACTGCTATAAATGTTGAAAACGGTTATTAGGGAAACATATTTCTAAATCAACAAATTTAGTTCATTTTTATTTGAAAAGTGCACGGGAAATACTAATGCTATTTCTTACAATTGCAAGTGCATTTTATAGTTAATCCAATAAAATATTATTTAGGAAATTCATTTTTTTAAATAATTGCCTTTTCTCTTTTCCCAGCATTTTAATTTCATAAAGGTAACTGAAATATCAAATTAATGAATTAATATCCAAAAAATTAAAGGTTTCAAAAATCATTACTGGTTTAAAAAAAAAGTTCCTTTTGGAACTTACTTTTGTAGTCCAAAAGTACTTTTGGAACCCTTTAAGCTCTTCCATGGAACGCTGGAGTTCGGTGGAACACCATTTGTTAACCACTGGACTGATTTAACATGTCACTAAAAATCTTCAAGGATTCAACTTTATTTTTCAATAACAAATAATTTTTTTTTGTTGCTTTCCTTCAGTCTTTACATAGGATTAAAGGGCAACCACCTGTGAAACCATACATAGATTGTCTAACAGCTAGTCGAATGATTACATTACCTGGACTTATTGATGTTCATGTTCATCTGAGAGATCCTGGTGCTACTCATAAAGAAGACTTTGCAACTGGAACAGCTGCTGCTCTTGCTGGTGGTGTTACTTTAGTGTGTGTGATGCCTAATACTAATCCTCCTGTTACTGATAAAGAAAGTTTAAGCCTAGCTCTTCAGGTGAGAATATATTTATGAAAGAATTTATTTAAAACTTTGTTGACTGTATGATTGTGAATTATGCATTATTAAAAAAGAAATTATAGTAAATTTTATTAAATTGTTTGCTAGTCACCATTCTTTTCTCCCTGTGCATCTACCATATATTGTTGTTTTTATATTTTACTATGACTTACCAAGGCTTCATTTTTAATCAGGAAACTTTTTTTTAAATATTTAACCCTTTAGAATCAAAGTAATAAGTACAACAGTTTTTAGTTAAAATTGTTTGTCAATTTAATTACTTTATCTAATTTTAAAATCTTTTTATTTTTTGTCTTTAAGATTTTTTTGTACTGGAGATTAAAAGAGTAAAATGACATATAAATTTCTATTTTCATATTGTAAGATTTGTTTTCCACACTTGGTATTGTATGCTAAAAAGGATATTGTATACTTAGTACTATGTAGAACAAAGCAAAATAACGTGAATGAAGCATAAATAAATATGCTATAGTTTTGGTTAAAAAGGAGCCTTCCTCAGTGTCTAAACACTAAAAAGGTTTTTAAATAAAAGGTTTTCTGGTATTTAAACACAGAGAAAACATTTTGTTTACGGAACCAAATGTTTGTTTAAGGAGAAGTATATTTCTGTACTTTTATTTGTGCTTTATTAATGTTTTAATGATGTTAAATCAACCCATATGTACTTCATATTTAAGTGTGTATTTTTTAATTGTGTTTGTTTTGAAATTTTGATATATTTATTTATGTCTTTATAGAGAGCTAAAGCTGGTGCAAAGTGTGATTATGCATTATTTGCTGGTGCTACATCTGACAATGCTGATATGTTACAAAGTATGTCCTCTACAGTTGTTGGTCTTAAGATGTATTTAAATTCTACTTATGGGCCTTTGAGACTACCTTCTGTTATAGACATTAGAAAGGTAAAATGCTGTATTAATTTTTCTTATTGATTTTTAATTAATCTTTTTTTTCTTTAACATACTCTAAACTAGAACTTTAACTGAGAGGAAATTGTAATACATTAACAGCAATAAATATTTTGTCGAATTATAAGTTAAAGTTGAAATTTAGCATGAATCATATGTTTTATAAAAAATATCTAATTTTTCTGAAGAACTTTTTTAAAGTATGTTTAATAAGAAATCTCAGTTTCTGCCATAATTTATTTAATTAATTTTAAATTATTTTGAGACATCAAATGAAAAGTCATGATTTTTTTTTTTTTAGCACTTTGAACGTTGTCCTCGAGAATTGCCAATCTGTGCACATGCTGAAGGTGCTACAGTTTCTACAGCAATATTCTATGCTTCAGTCACTGGCAGGCATATTCATATTTGTCATGTATCCACAAAAGAAGAGGTAAGAATATAAAATATTTTTGATTAATATGATGCATGATGAAATAACTTTAATTAAAACAAGTTTTTATTTATGTGTGTTGCAAAATTATGTTTAATTTTTTCCAAAAATTTAAAACTTATTACTTTTATGCTATCAATATGATACCAAAAAATATAATTTTCCTTTCATAAATATTTTTCTGTAGATCCTCATTATTAAAGATGCAAAAGAAAGTGGCATAAATGTTACTTGTGAAGTTTGTCCTCATCATTTGTTCTTAAGCATAGACGATTATAATACTATCGGTGAATTACAGTGCCGTGTTAGACCTCCATTGGCAACAGTTGAAGATCAAGCTGCATTATGGGAAAATCTGAACATTATTGATTGTTTTGCTACAGATCATGGTAAGTGTTTTATGATTTAGTATTAACTCTAAACTTTATTATTTTTGATAAACATAAATGAATTTAAGTAAACTTAACTTAAATCAGTGCTACTCTAGCTAAACATTGGACTTATAGACTATGAATTAAGAAACATGCTTGTCTATGTAGGTACTTCTTTTATTTATGTAAAAAGAAAAAAAATTTCAGTTTAAGGAAAGTAATTGTTAAATTTTTATTGAAATATGTGAATATTGTAAAGTGTGAAAATGTAAGGTTTGGAATTTTTAAAGAGATTAAGGTGTTTGATGTTAGTGGTTAAATTCAGCAATCTATAGAATGAAGGTTTAATTTAATACAGTGATAAAAAAAAAGTTCAGACCCTGTCTAATTATTTAAAATAATGAAGATTGTGTTCATAAAAACATAAAGTGGTATTTAGGACAGATTTGAAAAAATATGCCCTTTTTACAATAATTTCATTTTAATAAATTTAAGTTTGAAAATCTCTTAATACCCTAATGAATTTAATTTTTTCTTGTTTTTCTTCATTTTTGGTCGCTGGATTTTGCATTAAACATAGTTGGATTTTGCTGCATTCATTAAATATTAAATTACTTTTAAGTTTGGTACAACTTAACTGCAGATGAATCTTGTAAAAATGTGGTAATGTGATATTGTGGTGAATAAAATATTGTGGCTAAGCTGATAATTTTTCTGTTTTACAAAATTTGTTATAGTTATAAATTCGAGAATTTTATTTTACACTAATAGAATTAGGATTAATTCATGAATTTAATATTTTATAATGTGCTTTTCATACCTGATAGATTTAAACACTGATTATATTACACCATTATCATAACTCTAACAAGTTAGTGTTGGTGTATGTTATAAGATGTGGTCACACTAATTTGTGTAGTGTGAAATATTTTTTATTTATTGTTTCGTGCATTTTAGCCCCTCATACACCCGAAGAAAAATCAAAACCTGATGCGTCTCCTGGTTTCCCAGGACTTGAAACAATGTTGCCATTGCTATTGACTGCTGTTAATGATGGAAAACTGACATTACAGGTGTTTATTTTATCTAATATATGTATAATTTTTTATTAAGTTTTTGGGTCAAATATCTTCATTTAACTAGTTTCATGTTTCTTCAAAACATTCTTTTGAATATATGTTTTGAGAGTGAAAAGAAATTTTTTTAAATGCTTGCAAAGCACAGATATTTAGTGCTTAGCCTGCCAATTAATTTTTTTATATGTATATACATCTGGAATATTCCATTACTTTAATGTTTTCAAGATTAGTTTTTTATCTCATTTCCTTAGTTTTTTAGTCTCATTTTCCTGGCGATAGTTTTTGTACTTTTTCAGGGATGAGATTTTTCCGCTTTTTAGCGGATTTCCGCTTTTTTCACCTTTGTCTCTCGAATTTCAGCCTTTTTATCAAAAACTCTGATTATTTAAAAGTTTCACTTTTTTTTAAAATAAATATTCCGCTTTTGCAGAGAATTCAGTTGTTGAAATAAAAAAGTTATGTTTCCGATTTTCAAAGATAAAGAGATAATTCAAACTACATCGCTGCCAACCCTTCCGCATTTTTACTTATTTTAGCTATTTTCTCCGCTTTTACGCTCAGAAGATAAGATTTCATGCATTTTTACCCGATCGCTAGATAACTCGTATTTTAATAATTAAGACGTCGCTGCTTCAAACGAGCCTTTTAGATGTCCCCAGCCTGGAATCTGCTAACATTACTAAAAATTATGCATCGTGATTCGTATTTGCATGATCTAAAAATTATGAATTGTGGTTTTTATTTACGCGATTTAAAAATTCTATAACGCAATTTGTATTTTCTCATTTTTAGAATCGAATTTCCTATTCACGTGATTCAAAAATCCATTATCGTGATTCATATTCACGCAATTTTAAAATCCAAGATCGCTATTTGTATTCACGCGCTTTTAAAATCCAAGATCGTTACTTGTATTCACACGCTTTTAAAATAAATTATCGCGATTCTTGTAAGAAGTAAGTTTTTTTTTAATTACTGTAAATGTGACTGTTTTTTCTATCAACAATTATTAGTATATATAGGCATATTCAAAACTTACATTCTGTGCCTGCAAAGAAGAATGTGACACAAGCAGGTAAAAAAAGAAAAAATGGGATTTGTCAAAATATGTTTGAAGATGGGCTAATGACTAAATCAATCACCAATCTGTTTCCCCTCATTCATTCACAAGCTGCATTACGAGCAATTTGACCTTTTTAAAAGATTTTTTTGCTTGTTTCGTAAAACATGAAGCATTTGCAGTAAATTAAACGAAAATAAAAAGAAGATATAGCAAACAAAAGCAATCACTTAAAAAGAGATTCAAATTTTTTTGGAAAAGGAGTTGATAAACTCAGCACCAAAATTTAAAAAATAATGCTGCTGTTATTTATGCTATAAAATGCTAAATTCTTATCAGATGAAAAATAATTATCTAAACAGCTGCTGGTTATCATGTAATTTTTCAAACCAAAATAGCAATATTAAGGAGCTTAATATATGTTTCTACTTCACAGTTATTGACATGTTTCACGGGGCTCTAGCTAGATTAGATTATAATATGAACATAGTGATTCTAATTGTAAAAGTTTCTTTTCTTTTCTAAATAATTTAAAAAGTCATGTTACTGATATATATTTGTTATAAATCACGTAACAGTATTAAAGGAAAGGGAATGTTAGTGCATGTTCTCAGTAGCTTTAATTTGCTAAACTAGGCAGTTTCTCAAGTATTAATTTTCTCCTTTATGTGAACTAAAGAAAAATATAATTTCTAGCTTTATTTTTTCAATTGGTTATTTTACTTTTTACTAAATGTTAAGTATCGGTGTAATCATTCATATATTAATAGATTAGTACACAATTTTATGTCATCACATTGTTATTTATTATTTTAAATTGTCTGGAATTTATTATTAAACGATTGCATGCACGTAACATTTACTCGCATGGAAATTCAGCTTTTTTGCCTTTTGGTCAATCTCATCCCTGACTTTCTGTAATACATTCTATTTTTAGTTTGTTCAGCATAGTTTAATTTTTTATTTTTACCTTGTTACATCCAACCTTGTTTATCATAACAGTTGCTCAATAAGCGTCATTTTAGTCTTAATTTAAATAAGAAATAGAAGGGGGGAAAAATTAAAATAAGAAATATCTTTTTTAATTTTAAGTTCATTCATTGATTTAGGTATTTTAAATTTTTTTTATGTTCATCAGAACGTGAACATTGGTCTTTAATGATTATTGCTTTCTTACAGGATTTGGAAAATAAATTATACCATAATCCACGAAGAATATTTAACCTTCCTGAGCAAAAGGATACATACATTGAAATAAATCTTGATGAAGAATGGATAATTCCTAATGAAACTACATTCTGTAAATCTCGTTGGACACCTTTTGCCGGTCGTAAAGTAAAAGGTCAAGTACGACGAGTGGTATTAAGAGGAGATGTTGCTTTTGTTGATGGACAAGTACAAAAATTTTTTTTTTTTGTCTTTTTCTATTATTTATATATTTAAAAAGATTTCATTTTGTTAATTGTTATACTTTTTAGGTATTAGTCGAACCTGGCTTTGGTCAAAATATTATAAATTTTAGATCTGATTCCGATGCCAAATTTAAGTCACCAGCTCAGTTTAGAAGTGTGTCACCAGCTGTACCTCATACTCCCCCATTGGTTAGTGTAACTAAATTTTTCTGTAAATGTTTCAGGAATTATTTTTAGTTGAATAAGAATTGTGAAATAAGTTTTACATCATACCTTTGCATGATTAATTACTAAATTATTATGTAATTCGAACAATTTTAAATGAATTTTATAAAGTACATGTAGTCTAAAATATTATAATTGTAGCTATTTTAGTTTTTTTGTACTTTTAATTATTAGATTAATCAAATGGCTTCATATTTTTTATAATCTGTGGTTAGTTTCTATGTATGAATTCATATTTTAAGCTCATTAATAATAGCCTTTATTTGGTTTTAATTTGCATTTTTTAAGTGCATCTAGGAAACTTTAAAAACTTTTAGTCTAATTTTCTGTAGCTGGTACAAGTATTTAAAACTGCTTGTTTATGATTGGATTATATGAAATTTAAAATGAATTAATTCATGAGATTAAGTTAGAAAAAAAAAGAATAAAAAGTTAGGAAAAAAGAATTCAGAAAGTTAAGAAATTTTAATAAAAATTTCCTTGTTGTCTTAAAATTTTTGAGTGCATTTCATATTCTGTAAAAAAAATTAAATAATAAAATAAAACAAAAATAAAAAATAAGTTTTTAAAGAGATTTTAAAACAGTTCTACACAACAATATTTTAAACATTAAATAACTTAAACATAAGCTGGTTAAATACACAAAACATTCAATCAAAAACATCAAACCATTTATTCAATTTATATGTAAGAAACTAAAAAGATTCTAAATAAAAGACTATGAATTATTATATAAAACTATCTTATTATATCAGCTTTCTTAATTACATTTACAAAAAATAAAAAAATTTGGGCATCATTTTAAGTATTAACACTTCTTGAGTTCACACACAAAATCAAAATTGTCAGTACATTAGAATTTCTTTGTTTCGTTAATAAGTGAAATCTAATTGCTCAAAACATCATTGAAATCTAAAAATATTCTGAGCTATTGAAAACTGTATGAAGTGCATTTTAATATGAAACCAGGCAAAATAGCATAAATTAACTCTCTTGTCTTTTTCTTTTGAAATTTTGGAAAGAATGTTCCTACTTGGCTACCTTGACTTTTAATTTAAAGAAATATCAGCATCAAAGTTTGGTATGATGCATAATTGTTGTTGTATGCACATTGTTAAGACAAAACCTTTAAAAAATTAAACGTTTTGTCTTAACAATGTGAAAAAAGAAAATTAGATAAATGTTTTTTAAGTTGTTGACTTTCTACCCTTTAAACTGAATGCTTGGTGCCATTTTAAAATTATCAAAAGCTAAAATTGAAATTGAAAAAAAAAGTGAAGTTGATAAGTTTTGTTATTTAGGAAACAAAGGTTCTTTGAATTATTGAGGAAAAAAAAACTTTTTATTACTTCAGAAATGCAAAAATTATTCAACTTTAAAGAATAATTCGAATATCCACTTAAGGGTAATGGAAGTTTAACTGTAACCTTAAGAGAATAAGAAAAAAGTATGGGTTATTATACATTGAATTGTTTGAACAGTAAGTGATTTTAAAGGCATCCATGTTTATTTACAATTCTATGTTTCGAAGTAGTATATAAAATAAATTTTGATAACTATTAGCCATAAATAAATCTGTTGAAAAACAAGATATATGTTTTATTTTCTACTATTGGCAGAAATGCTCAAAGATTTTATTTTTTGCTGGTAGACAATTATCAAATACTATATATCTATTGCTAAAGTAATTTTAGTAATTTTGTAATCCTGTTTTATATGAGTAATAAACTAAAATGAGCTTTTAAACTTACTGTTGTAGAAAAAGTTTCTTAACATGTGTTTATTTTATCCAATTTTTTTTTAAAAAAAATTCCAAAAATTACTAATAATACTAATAAAAATTACTAATAATTACTTTTGATAAAATAATTTTATCAAAAGATAGAACTTTTTTCTTTACTGACAAAATAATTTTTAATGTTTGACACTTTTAATTATTAATGATTCTATGGCAATAAATTCTTCTCTAATACAATTCCGTTTCCCCATATCCAATTTTGCAAGTTTGAAATCCATTCATAATTATTACATAAAGTTTGAAATACTGTAAAAAGATAAAATTAACTATATAATTTCTTATTATTGTATGTAATTCCTTATAATTATTAGGCTTCACCTGCTGGTGGAAGAATTACTCCTGCCCTTCTTGTTTCCGATCAGCATCAAATTCCACCTTCAAACTTTGATGCTGTGTCACCAATAGCTCCCACAGGTAAACTTGTTTTTGTTTCAATGAATTTTTTTTATTATAATTTTTAATTTTTTGTGAATTAAAAACTGAATTTTTAAGTTGTAAATAAAAATTAAATTTTTTTTTTATTAAAGGAGTTATCAAAAAGTTAAAAATTGTAATTATTGTATTTTTTTATATTATTCAAATTAATATTTTGTTTCCTTTCATTATTTGTACATGTTTAGATATTTTACAATAGGTAATAAAAAGGTCTGACTTCATATTCTTTATATGGTATGACTTACAGTCCAAGAAACCTACTATCTATGAAACAACTCAAAAGTTAAGCTGGTATTAAATTTTACTCTGAAAAATTGTTTTCACAACTCAAGCTGATATAGATCTTGAGATTCAAATATTTTATCTCTTTACTGATTTTGCCTTGTGGTGGTTTTCAGAAACTGAACTTTAAGTGTTGATTCTTCCAACGAAGCAACTTTAATCAAGTTCACAGGTAGCAAAATTCTCTGGCCATGGTGCTTTTGCTCCAATTTATCAGACTAAACAAACTCTAGCACCGTGTCAGTTTTTGAACTGTTTTGGCTGTAGCTAGTGGAAGAAATTTTATTACTTATATAAATTGATAGATTTGTTTATATATCGAACACCGACCCAATTCTGAGTTTACTATTATTAATATTCAACTCGGTTGCCTTGTAATTTTAAACCCACTCCGAAAGGCAAAAGAACTTCTGAATCAAGCATTGGGCCAAACTAGTCAGAGTGGAGAAGTTTTCGATGGAACTAACTCACATTTGGGTTACATGGAAAAGAAAATCAGGAAAACCTTCCATGGCTAGACCTACGCCAAAAGGATTCTAACCCATGATCCACTTACCACTGAAGTTATTTTCTGTCAGCACTGTAGTCTAGCGAGCTGGGAGCAGAGTTCAACCCGAAAAGCCAACCCTGGGAATCGAATCCCGGGTCACCTCATTGAGAAGCAAGCATGCTATCTTACAACCTTAAATAATCTAAGGCAAAGGAGAATATCTCCTGAAATTGTCAATCTATGGATATTGCAGGAATAAAAAAAAAATATTTAGCGAACTAAAAAACAATGTCGATTGCATGAAGATGCAAGCCAATTGCTTAATGAACAGTCTTTGGTTTTTTTCCCATGTGCATCTTTAATTTAATCCTAGTTCCCATATTTTGTTTTTGATAATTGTTTTATAATTTTGCAAATTTTTATCAAAATTATGTTTTAATGTAATGTAATATTTCCTAGAGTATTTTTCATATTGAATAAAATCTTTAAAAATCTAGATAGAAAATTTTATGTTTTTTAAGTATTAATAGTAAGTCTATTTATCAGTTTCGTCTATTTTACTTAAGAAGACCATTTTAAAAATGTGTATATGTTACATAACTCTTTTTATTACAATGTTCTATTGATTATAAAATATCATAAAGTTTAAAAGTTCTTTAAGAGCTTAAATATATTATAATCAATTATTATAGTTTGATTTAATCTTTGTTTCTTCCTGTTAAGTGATAAATAAAATTATGTGAACCTGTAATAGTCAGTTCTCAGATTTGGTTTAAAAAGAGTAAGTAATACAGAAGGAAGTTAATACATTTACTAATATCTTATTTTAATAACTCTTTTATCTCTATCACTTTTCTCTTGTCTTTTAATTTATCACCTTTTCCCTTTTACTCTATAAGCTGGACTTTTTTGGTCTCCAAAAAAAGTAGTTCATAGTTCTAATAAAGTAACTGGATTAGCTAAATCTTATCAAGGAAGCATGGATTCTTCTAAAGTGCCTAACCAAGTCTTGTATGGTGGTGGTTTTCAAAATGTTGGAAACAGTAAGTTTCTTCCCTCGATTTTGTTTTGTTACCAGTGGTTTCCAATAAATTTTTCTGTTGAACAAATGATTGAAACCTAATTACTAGAAGGTTATTGCTAGGTCTATTTACATGAAATATTGCAGAGCAAGACTCTGTCATTAAATATACTAAATATTTTAAAAATATTTTTTATAAAAATAATAAATAATCAAGTAATATTTAACTTAAAGCAAATAAATATTGATTAGTTTGGAAAAGCTTGTGAATATTTTTTGAATATTTCAGTACATATTTGATCTATCTGATGATTATCCATCTGAACTGAAGTTTAGAATTCATATTCACTGTATTTTCTTACATTTATTTCAGTTATTAATTTTTTTTTCCGTTTAAAACCTAAAATTAATTGCAAAATTTCAATTATTTTAAAATAATTATAAAAATTAGTAAAAATATAGTGAAATTCAATTGTGCCATTAACATGTTGCTGCACATAAAACAATTTAAAATTGGTTTATACTATATGGAGAAAAAAAATTTCGTGCAGCAATTTTTTATAATATTATTTATCAATCATCTTAATGCATAGTATTAATGCATTTAATTGCATAGTTCCTCTAAATTATGCTATGATTAAAATAATAATTATCTTTATTTGCATTATTTATATAAAGCTATAAACTTAAAAAAAAATTAATTTGAAGTGTAATTAGTTTAAAGACTTTTATTAAAGCAGATTGTTTCAGTTTTTTAAAAATTTTCCTTTATTTTTCTTAAATTTTGGGAACCACTGTTCTTGTCTATTATATACCACATAATATATGGGACATATATTTTCAATTACTTTTTAATACAATAGTCTCCTTTAAATTAGCTTTTATTAAAAACTAAACTATTATTTTATATAAATTAAAGATACAAAAAACAGATGATTAAAGTTAGTCATTTTTTTTATTTCTATGTAAAGCTGAATAATTTAATTGTATTTATAAACAATTTTTATAGTTTGTAATAACATATTCAGTGTCCTGCCTGCAGTTTCTTTTTTTTTTTTTTTTTTTGAGACGGAGTCTCGNTTTTTTTTTTTTGCTGCTATCTCTTCTATCCTTTTATCTTTGTTCCTTGTTATAACAAAATTGCATGCTTAAAAATGTGTTTTCACTAACAGGTAATATATCGCTTAATTGTGGTAATTGTGAAATGCATCTGTGTTTTGTGGCTAAAAGTATAGTTTAATGTAGATGTCGCAGAGTAGAATATGAATTTAAATAGTTTTTAAATCATCTGAGTGTAAGATTTCTGGCGGTAAGATTTTTTTTCAAACTACTAATTGAGTGCAAAATCTTTGCAGATATTACGTCTTAAAAATTAAAGGTGCATTGAAAAGGCTAATGCAATACAATTTGATGTGTTTCTTTCCAGATAAATGAATTATTTTTTCTTTTTATTTACTTCAATATATCTATATAACATAATTGAATGATAAATACATTTTCTAATTTTCTTTGTTATGAAAAGCATGTGATCTATTTTAATGATAATCTACTTGTTATGAAATATTGGAGCATGTTAATTTTACGAAATTCTTTTAGAAATTGTGTTTCTAATGTAAAAGTTTCTATAAAAGCTTTACTTTTGTGTTATGTGTTTTTTGTTTTTATTCATGTAAGTGATTTCTGAATGTTTTCAAATTCGTTCATTATTTAAAATTTTCTTAAAATTAAAAATAGGTTTTAATAATGGTGATTATTTTAAAAAATATTATGTTTATTTTCTTTTTTGTTGTTTGTGCTTTTAGCATATTTATTGCAATACCAGAAAATTTCAGAATTCCAAAGTTTAGTAAAAGTATCAAATTATTTTCTCTCTATTTTAAGTAATTTTTATTTGTGTTAATCTTTTTCAAATTTATCATGCATAGTGTATTATTTTCATAAGATGTTGAGTTATTAAAAAGAAATATATAAATCAATAATCAATTTTTTTTTCAAATTCTAATTCTATTTTATAATGTTATGTGAAGTAATTTTAGTCTCTATATTTAACTGCAAAATCTGTATTATAAATAATTGTGTTTTAATGATAAAGATAATTGAATAATGAAAAAAAGTCTCTAAAATAATTGTATAATTAAGTTTTTTAAGATACTTATATACAAAATTATTTGGTCACTAAAGGGCCTTTTTATGCATATTTTTAAATTCCTTGTTAAGAATGAAGTTGAGAAAATTGAAACATTTGGAGTTTTCAAACTTATATTTGAGCTTGAAAAAAACAAAAATGCTTTTGAATTATGATAAATTACTTTTGAGGAAGGTATGATTGAAAACATTAAAACCTGTTCATTTGCAGGCGTCACTGATGGGTTTTGATAGACGATTATTAAAAAAATTACCAAGTTTCACAGGGTGATTAAACTAGATTAAATATTTTCAGTTTTGCTTCCTGAGTAGTGATTCTTGAGATTTTAATATCATAAGGATTCCTGAAATATATATTAAGGATAATATTTTCAGAACTTCCTTTATATGAAAATGTTATGTTTTAGAGTAAAATGTTACCGATGCAGTGAATTTAATAAGATATTTTTTAGTTTTACATTAAAGATGAATCTACAATATATTTCTTTGTGCAAAATTTATCTAATCTTATTTCTGAAAGGGCATGAGATGGTGATTTCCATTTTTAAAAGGGTTATTTCTTAAATACATAATTCTTTAAAATTTAGACTTAAATCAGCATAAATTATGTTTTTTAGAACAATCTGATGCAGATTTGAAACTTTTAAAATCTTCCACGAATATTTTTGTGTAATAATTCGAGTTTTAAAAAAAAAACTATAGTCTGATTATTAAAAACATTATGATTTATTTATTACCTTTAATTTTTTTCCCTTGTCCTAGCCTTTTTGTCTTTTTGTACTTGTTAAGTTGATTGCTTCTCGTAGAATAAATAGCGTGTAACCCGATTCTATTCTTAACTATTTTGTTGTATTAACGATCTTAACATCTAAATTTTCTGTTATTATTAATATTATTGTAATTTTAATAGGCAGATTTTTTTCTTTGTACTATGCTTTGTATATTTGATGTGAGCATTTTCTTTTTATTATTTTATGTTTTTGCTATTGCTATACGTATATGGTAAAGCATCTGAGTAATAGTGCACAAATTTAATGCTTATGAAATTGTTTTATTAATTTACAAATGTGGCAGCTTTTTGTGAAAGCTAATCGATTTTTTATTCGCATTTATACATGATTAAACAATTTAGGCACAATTTAGAACTAGCTTCGATTTAAAAAGAAAAAAAAAGGAATTTGGCATTCACCTTTTCTTTTTATAAACATAGAAAAAGATGTTACTCTTAACCGCTATTACTAATGTCTTTAAAAACTTTTTTAATTATATTTAATGCAAAATGCATATTTAATTCAAATGGAAAAGAGCTTACAACAGTTTCTTTTAACTACAGTTATGTTTTTTTATATAGGGTAGTTATTTGCTAGGATAGTATCTTTCTTCAAACATGTGTTCAAAATTCAAACCTTTTGTGTATAAGCACAATTAGAATTTTTTTTCCCTTCAAACTTTCTTCCCTCCTCAATTAATAAATAAAAATTCGTTTAAAACAAAATAGAAATTAAAGTTGATTTAGTAATTTGTAAGTTTTAAACCTATGTAATTACCAGCAGAATTTTAGGTAAAAGAAGGTTCCTATTTTTATTTTTCAATAATTTAATAAACTGGCACAAAAAAGCATTTTCTGCAAATTTATAAAATTGACTACAATATCACATCTTTCACAATCAATACTTGACAGATTTTTAAACATGGGTAAGAATGTTTAATTGGAATTTTTTTATTTTTATATATCTTTGCATATAATATGGTTTATAAAGAAAAATGCATTACGTTTGATTTGCAGACAAATATATATGAATTTATGTAAAATTGTATTAAAAATAATTAATAACTTTTTATTTAATAGAATTGCAATCCCAATCTATGCAAGATATGTTATCAGACATATCAAAGCAACTAGTGAAAGATATTGATGAACCAATTATTATTCCAAAACAAAAACTTGTTGATCCTCATATTGATTCAAAGGGACCATTGATATATACACCAGGTGGAGCAATGGATCAAAATAAACCCTTTGTCTATGAATTGCGAGGGAAAAGCATTCTAAAAGTAGATAAATTTTCACGCTACCAGGTGAGAAATGTTCCATTATAGCTGCAATTTTTATCATGATATCATAATATTAATTTTTTGTTAAATATTTTTGAGTTACATTCAGATCTGAAACAATTCACAAACCCAGCAATAAGCTAACTCTAATCTATATCCAAAATCTTTGAAAAAATATTCAATAGTTATTGTTGGAAATAATGATAGAAATTATTAACTGATTTAATAGGTTCAATAGTCTCTCTGCAACATATTCCTATACTAAAATGGCTGTAACCTATAACAAGTTTTCTAGATGTTTATCTTTTCAATTAATTTTTGTCGTTTTTGGAATTATTTAGATGTTTATTGTTTTAATTTTTATTATTTTCTATGCAAGTTTGAATTTCTGTGGAGCAAAATAGCTAGTTTTTCGAACCACCTGTATAATTCGTTCCAGTAAAGTGACTCATTTTAAACGCACCTTTATAATGTGTATTACTTTGTTTTTAATTGAAAGTCTAGTCATAATTTATCACAGCCTAAAAATTTTACATCATTATTTAAATAATTTCAAAAATTTGAACCATTATAAATGAACCATCAATTTCTCAGCTGTACTTTATAAGCATATCAAACAACAATTTGAATGAGACTACTAAAGAAATTTACTACAACTGCATGATCATAACATTCTGTATTTGATTTAGCTGGGTTGAACTATATTTTTAATAATAGTTATAAAAATTTCTGTAATTTAAAGGTTAAAACAATGCATATAGGTTTTTTCTACGTTTGTTTCTGTACTTGATAATTTTTGTTTTTATTGCAGCTCCATAAATTGTTTGAAGTTGCAAAACAATATAAAAATCTTTTGAAAAAAGGTCCACTAGATATCTTAAAAGTAAGTTGCAATAACATTTCATTCATATTTATTCTTATCTATATTAACTTATTTCATGAACAAGATCTAAAACAGGTTATGTTGAACTTGAAAAAGAATTCTTTTGATAAAAATGTTTTTAATTTCATTTATTTTTTAAGGGTAAAGTGATGGTAAATGTGTTTTATGAAGTGAGCACTCGAACTAGAGTTTCGTTTGCTGCTGCAATGCAAAGGCTTGGAGGCACAGTTATTGATGTAAATGAAAGCTTTTCTTCTGTTAAAAAGGGAGAAAGTTTAGAAGGTAAATTCTGTCTTTTTTTCTTATAAATTTATTCTATGTCACCTTTCTCTTTTTCTTTTTGCTCTGTAAGAGGAGAAATTCCTTTCTATTCATGATACTTTTAATAATATCACTTATATTATACAGAATATCATTTGAATTAATTATTATAAGCAGGAGTCTATAAAAACTCATAAGTTCTAGGAATTAGTTACTTATGTAAAAAAGAATGGCATAGCATAATTGCTTTTGTAACTCCTTTACTTAAAGACAATTATTATCTTTTATATTAGCTAATATTATGTTAAGTGATCCGATTAGAAGTATGATATACAATTTTAATGCATAGACAATTAAGCAAGCTGAAATAGCATCACATACCATATCGCTGAATTTTCATTTATTCCTTTCAGTGGCAAAATTTAACATATTTTCTCTTTCAAAGTTAGGTATTGATAAGAAGGCAGATTAAAATAATAATAATAATAATACACATAGGTGAATTGTACTACTATACTATGTATTTGTTCACCCCTGATTATAAGTACTAATTTTATAGCTTAATAATTTTTATAATTAATTGTGCTAGTTTGACTTTTTCTTTTTTAAGATTATTGTTGATAATAATGCTGAAAAATTCGGGAATCCAAATATTTTAATTAAATCCCTCATACATAGAAATTTCTCCTGAAATTATTAAAACTTAAGACATTAATTTTAAAACTGAACACATTAAAACAGGAAGTATTTTGTGTTGAAGGAGATGTCATAGATCTTTATACTGAAAAGTGTTTAAGTTCTTTTAATTAGTTAATTTTTTTATTAACTGTTGAGATTACAAACAGAATTATTTGTGTTGAAATTATGTTTATTCTTGTTATTCTTATGTTTATTCTTATGTTCCAATTTGTTAATTCTTTATTTTTTATTTCCAACTTTTCCTCTTGATTCTGTTGTCCTCACCTAATGCACATGAGCACCATGGCACTAGATTGTTCCCTTGTGTCCACAATAAAAATGTTTTCAATGAAACTTTAAATTCCAACCATAAATTCACCTTTAAAAAGAATGTTCCAATACACTTATAAAAAATAATTTACTAGGCAATAGTTAAAAAAATAGAAATTTTTTAATTATGTGTCAACTCTTTAAAATATGCAGAAATAACAACAAAAAAATCTCATTTTTTTTTACTATGTCATTTCAGTTTTTAACTAAATTTAAAAATTATTTTTCATTGAGCAGATTTTGATATGTATAAATTTTATAAAATAAAGAATTCTTGATTCATTTTAAAGTTAGCTCTTTGACATTATTAAAACAATTATTTTATTACTTAAGCATAAAAAAATCTAAATCTACATTTAAAAAAAAATCTAAATCTACATTTAAAAAAAAATCTGATGTTCAGTCATATCATATAATTAAACATACTTTTTTTTTTTTGCAAATTGAATTTAGTTTAAAAAAGTTTTATAAACTGTAGATAAAAGCTTTAAGTACATAGAATCTTTAATGTTAGATAATCACATATAGAAAAACAATATGTGTTTAATTCAGTATTCTAATAATTTGTTACAATATGTAAAAATAAAAAATTACTAAAAATGTTTTTCCCTTTTTTTTATAGATACTATTGCAGTGTTATCCAGCTACAGTGATGTTGTAGTTTTAAGACATCCAGAAGTAGGAGCAGCCCAAGTATGCTATTTTTTTTTCTTTCAAATGTATCAAGATTTTTTAAGTACAAACTTAATATTTAAACAACATTTTCATTATAAAAAAAAGTTAAAAGTTATGTAGTTAATAGTTATGTAGTTAAGTTATGTAGTTAAATTAATTTTAATGGCAATAAAATGTTATAATATTAAATTAATTATATATTTTTTGTTTTGATTAGCTTTTTAAGCTGACCTTGATTTAAAATTTTTAATTCTCGTTTCGTTTGCTTTTAGCGAGCTGCAACTGCATCTTCTCGTCCTATTATTAACGGTGGGGATGGAACTGGTGAACATCCAACTCAAGCACTTTTAGATGTCTTCACCATCAGGGAAGAACTTGGATCTGTCAACAGATTGACAGTAAGTAGTATTTTATTTTTTAAAACTACTTGTTAAAACTACTTCTAATTCTTTTCTGATTATTTTTATTTTCCAGTCTTTATACATTTTTAAATTTGTGGTACATATAGCTTATATAAAAATAGTCAATGTAATTTCATAAGCTGGTAATAATGCTGATTGAGAACTATTTTGCTGTAGAAATTTGTATGTAATGTTGATTTTCCTGTACTTAATACAATTTTAAACCAACAGTTTTATACTTACAACTTAACAGCAGCCTAGGTCATGCGTTAACATCAGATGTCTTATTTGTAAAGTAGCTTTAAAATTCGATTATAGGAATTTATATTTTACTCTTACTAAATCCTTACATGAAGACAGGAAAATTACAGATGACTATGCCAAATTTAAAATTCTCAAATTTAACGTGTAGTATTCTGCCAAGAGCTGATTAGTGATTGGCAAATACAGCAAATCTCACCTGTGTAATCCATTAGGAGTAAAAATGAGGTAGCAAAGTGTTTTTTTAGCAAGTGTTCTGCAGTAAACATAGTTCATGTCTCTGGATTCTGTAAAAGCTAATCAACTTGTATGTTTCAGCCTTTAAACCTTGTCACTTAATCCATGGGCTTACAATATTCTTGCATTATTAAAATATCATTAAATGTTACATATTTTAATCAGTTATATTGCAAAAATATTGTGTTCATAATATCTTAATTTTCTTTAGATTACATTTGTTGGAGATCTTAAACATGGTCGAACTGCTCACTCTCTGGCTTGCTTGTTGACAAATTATGATGTACGCTTGCGTTATGTATCACCTCCTGAATTGGGAATGCCAAAGTCTGTCTTAGAGTTTATTCAATCTAAAAATATTAACCAGGTTTGTTTTCAAAACACATTCTTCTCTCTTTTCTACTAATTGTTGAGACTTTTATTTAGATATTTATGTATATTTATTTTAAAAAAAATTCTTAATTCTTAGATAATGTTATAAGAGAAAACGGGTATTGGTTTGGGGGCTTTAAAAAAACTATTACTACAGTACCTATGTTAAATACCTATTAATTATTAACCACAATTAATTATGTATCACTGGAAATTAATAATAGTTAAGTAATTTTTTTACTAATCCTCCCCCCTGCCTTAAAATAGATATATACCATTTTATTTTCTCGTTGGGCTCTTTTTCTTACCTTTATTTCAATTCAAGAATTCATACCTTTACTAAATATTCTATAAATATTCTATAAACATATTTGTATTAGTAATCACATCATATTTACTATGTATACTGCAATATTTTTCGAAAATTGAATTGTCTTGTAATTTGTTTTGCTTTTATGTATATGTCTCTGTATAATAAAAGTGGCTATTTTATGGTTTTAATAATATTTAGCATCAAATTGAAAATTTAATGACAAATATTTGTACTTTGCAATATTGGTAATGAATCAAAAAAATTATTTTAAAAAATTCTTGTTTTCACCAAATAAAGTTATTTTTATTTATTCCTTTGCATAATATAGGAAGAATACTCTAGCTTAGAAGACATTTTACCTCAAACTGATGTTTTATATGTGACAAGAATCCAGAAAGAGCGATTTGCATCAGAAGATGAATATAAAAAGGTATATTAATATTCTTTTTAGTCATTCAATACTATAAATTTTGGTTTTATACTAAAAGTAGCAATTGCTTTGAATGTTAATGGCTTAGCATATTGGACTTAAATTTTGATGATGTGCAAGAAACATTCTGAAATTTTTAAAAATATTTCTGGACTTTTATCATAAACTAAGTGGAGTCTCTACCGTGAATATCTGCCAATGCAATTTCTATTAAAAATTATAGTTAAATAATATTCAAAATATTCTCCACATAACAAAGTTGTTGTCTCCCTATAATGAGTTTTTAGGAAATTTACCTTTTTTGTCATTTTTGAAGAAAGTTGTCACTAAACGTTAAAATTTCAGTATTAGTATATAAGTAGGTAACAGGCATGTGATTCTTCCGCTAATTTGCGGTATTCCGCGATTCTCCAGACTGTTGATTCGCAGATTTTTGCAATGAATAATTTATGTTACGACAAAATTTTCTCGGATTCCCGCTAATCTAAAATTTAAATTTCATTACTGTATCGTTACAGAGACATTTATTCCGCCTTTACCAGCATTCTTTTCTTTTCTACCTAGGTTCTCATTCACAAACCATTAATTTTGTTTACGCGGATTTATTAGAGGAAAACGCAATTTGGGATAAACTTGGAGAACACGAAATTGATTAAAATAATCCATAGAAACTTTTTCAAAAATTAATGAAAACAAAAATATACAATTGATAATGTAAAAGGTAATTCCAAAATGACAAACACTTAAAATACCATTCGCTAAAAAAAGTACTGAAAAAAAATTGCACATTAGGAAAAAAAATTCAGATTATTTCTTCCAGCAATGTCTAATAGGGAATGTTAGAGTAACATATACTGTAACTCTATCTGAATATTCAGAAGTAGACAAGTAAATATTAACTGCTTTTTGTTCTACAAACAAACAAATTTAGAACACTGTAATCGTCAACGATAAAGGCTAGGAAAGTGAGAATGATATCAAAAATTAAGATGTGATACGGAAAAAACATTGGACTAATGCTAATATTTTAAACCATTATGAGATTTCTAAATAGAAAATAAATGTGCATTACTCTATTTTTAAATGTAAAATTTCAGAATATTTTAAGTAAAGTACACTTAAGTACATTTTATTCTTTAAGTGTCCACTTTTATGCATTTTTTATACATTAAATAATTGACATGGTACGTAGCGTTTTTAAAAAGTGCTTATTTTTGATTTTAATTTTTTAAAGGCCCTTAAAGGTGCTTGTTTCATCGGTATTTTTTAAAAAGTGCTTAATTTTCCCTTTCGAAATTGATATTTTTTTCTTTAGCATGTTGATTTTCGTCACTTATTATGCAATATCGTGCTTTTCACGTTGTTCTGTCCAACATTTTCCCAATTAATTCAACCACAATCCATTTCGTCGTACCGTCGGTTCATAGCGCATGAAGGCGCCAGTCTTTTTTACATGTTTGATGAAATACTTGCGAGTCTGTGTGTGCTTCTGCTGAGATTATTGCCCTCTCATTTGCAACTCTGCTGCATTTTGCAAGATATTCTCAATTTTAGGCTTTATTTTCCACCCTCTGATATTGAACCGAAAAATCTCTCGATCATTTTATAATGGCTAATATAATCAAGAGTTTTTTTTTGTCAGAAACTAGTTATATTATCATGATCATGTCAAGTCTTTGAAAATTATTTTGTATTTTGATAATGTATATAGCACTAAAAAATATTTTTGAGTGCTTAAAAAGTTATAAGTACCTTTTTTTAAATAAGTTGTAAATATAGACTTCTTAACTTATTTTACTAAGTAAAAATTTTGGCAACAATTATTAAATAACAGCAATGGTTTCTAACCATTCATTAAAATTTATGTAATGAATTTTTGCGCTGGAACTAATCTATTTTGTTTTATATGCATAGCAGGGTTAGAAATGAAGAAAATTTAGTCATTGGTCCAAAGGATCCATAATACAAAGATATTAGTCTGTAGACATGTCTCTATTAGATTTTTTTCTCAAGAAAATTATAGTGAATTTAAATGAATAATAGCAATGCAGAGAATATGCTATGTCTCAGTTATGGTGAAATATATTATTTTGTGACAAAGAGGCAGACCAAAACCAGCGGTTGAAAAAACTTAATTCTTTTGCAGTTAACTATAACTTTATAACAAATGTAGTTAACTACAACTACTTTTTTTAAAATGTAGTGATTACAAACTACTTTCAAAAAGTAATCGCTACAACTGCATTTAAGAGACAAACTTTGTTGAGAGAACTTAATTTATACCCATGATCAGAATGGTTCTGAATAAAAAATTGTCTTTTTTTAACATGAAGAAATATTTAGAAATATTTATTCTTGTTTACACGAGCTAGTTTGTTATTTTTTAAACCTTTTTTTATGCATTTGGCTTTTAACCTCCAACTTTTTTAGCTCCTTTCTTGAAAGCGAATATTTAAGAAATGCTAGGAAATTATCAAATATTTATTAAGTGTTTTATCTTTTATTTCTTCCAAGAGTTAAAAAATTACTGAGCAAAATATGTTCCCTTCCATTGGAATAACATGCCTGTTTAGTATTTCACAAGTGTATGTTCACATTAAAGCCAAAAGGATAAGTTAATAATATTGTTAGTGTAGTGTGATAGATTAGTGCTGTTGTGCATAATGACTTGTTTAAATCTAGTCAAGGGATGCCAGAATGGGAAATTTCACTTTCTTTCTCTTTATATTTTAGGAAACTCAAATAAATTTAGTCAATACACCTTAATTTAACTTTTTTAAATTGAAATGAAAACAAAGTTTGCACAAGCAGTGTTCTTAGTAGCTTCTAAAAAACCTTAGTAATTAGCTAATCTGTTGAATAAAATGTTAGCCTCAGTTGATTTGCCCTCTCCCCTTACTCATCTGTATATAATTACCGTCTATAGAAACTAAAAAAACAATTAAATTATGCTTAAGAAATTTTGGAACATCAAGAAAGAAACATGTAAAAATGTGATAAAACATTGACACTACTTAGCCGAATATTACATTAATGAGTTCAATTAATTAAAAAAAAATCAAATTACAAATAATGATCAACATTAAAAAATACTTAATTTTTTTAGTATTTGTCTGTTTTTCTTAGACATATCAATTAACTTTTTGAAATTGTACAATGGCCTAGCAAGAGAGTTCACACAAACAAATATATTATTTGAATTTTTTATATGCATTAGATATCTATGGTTTGCTTTTGTTGATTTCATAACACTGGTCTCTCTCAAACAGTTCACAGACTGTAGGGGCATGACCCCTGTATAGGGCATCTTATTGTAAACTATTAGGTACAGTCAATCTAAACAGTTTTTTTAAGAAAATTAACAGTCCTAAATATCTTAATTATATTTACCTATATGTTGATTACCTATACTAGCTACCTGTGGCAACTAGCTGACCGGATTTCTAAAATCTGTAGAAACCCAAAAATAGGAAGTAAAAAATGTTTTGTTAGTCATACTACATTTACTTTTTTAAAAAATTGTTTGCTTAATACCGGCTTTTGAGAACTAAAGGACTGCATACCTAAAATAAGTATTTGTATTAAAATAAAATTATGATCTGAAATTAATATTTAATTGTTATAAAGAATATAAATGCAATGTTTGATAATTATTGTTTTTTTTATTAATATTTGTAAATTATTACAGGCTTGTGGACATTTTGTAATTACTCCTGTTTTAATGACAAAAGCTAAAAAGCGAATGATAGTTATGCACCCTCTACCTCGGGTGGATGAGATAAGGTGAGATTATGTTCTTGTACTGTCTAAATAGATAATAGATACATTATGTGATATCTTATTTTATTCAATGCAAATCTGCTTATTTTAAATGATAAATATAAATTTTTAAGTTAAATATTTGTTATTTTTAAAAATATTTGTAAATTGAGAGTTAAATTGATATATGTGTTTAACAAGAGCTTATACAGAAAAGACCCACAAATGTGAAAGTTGAGAAACTGATTGTTTTTGCTAATTGTAAATTTCATATTTAGACATTCTTTTGTAGATCCCAAATCAATGATGAAAGGTTTGTAATGCAATTTTAAATTGTTACCATTAGTACATGCTGAATGGTAACATTAGCCAATGATACAAGGCTAAGAAATCGAAAAAAAGTTGCTTATCCACTGAGAAGATCAATTGTTCAATGTTGAAAATTTCTGAAGTGGTAACCTTAATTATGAAGAAAAACGAGAATCTTATAATTATGATTGTGTTGTTTATCATCATAGAAAAAAAAAATACCCAAAACAGTGTTATAAATATTTTTATAAAATCTCATGTTAGCTTAAAACTGCTAATTTTTTATGAAAAATATGAGTTTCATTAGCTATAGATATTTATTGTATTAAAGCTTGTAAAAGTACTTTTATTCAATCTTAGATATATCTTTAGATGTGATGAAATGACCACAATTTCTTTAACATAATTAATGCAATATAATTAATTAATGCGGTATAATTAATTAGTGCAATATAATTAATTAATGCAATATAATTAATTAGTGCAATATAATTAATTAAAATAATTCTTTTCAATAATTACCAAATTCTTACCCAATTTTTAGTTTTTCCATCAAAATTTATATTCATTAAAAATATTAACCATGAAAACAAGCAGATGATATGAGCAAAAATCAATAAAAATCCTCTAAAAATTAGTTTGAGCTTATTTATCAAATGAAGGTACTCCCAAAAGTTTTATGGGTAATGTCTTCTCAAATATACAAATTGTGAACAAAATAACGGAAACGAGATGTAAAATTTATTCACTAAAATGTCACCTTGCTCTTTCACTAAGCTCTTCATTTGTGAATAAGTCAAATTAGAAGTGTGTATAAATGTGAAGAGAATCAAATCCATAATCTTTTGCTTATATTGAACTTACAAAACAAAATCTACTTACTAAACAAAACACTAAAAAGTAAGATATTTGTTTATGACTTGCAAATCACCTTGATTCTAGTTTTAAAAGTTAATAAGTTTTCTATTTTTACTCATATTAAAAATATATTGAAATTTAGATGTATGTTTCTTTTTCATACAATTACATAATGTTTTTTTTAATTATTATGTAAAGCATCACAGCACATTATTAAACAAAGGACTAAATTTCTATCCTTAATGTCTGTTTTTAAAATGTACTATATCATAGTTCTATTTATTATTTTTATACTTTTCACAATAATTGTAATAAACTTAAGATATATATGTTTATAGATGACTTGTAATAACTTGTTTGTTTATTTATAGCTCTGATTTCGACTCTGACCCTCGGGCCGTATATTTCCGACAAGCTCAATATGGCATGTATGTTCGCATGGCTCTTCTTGCATCTGTGATTGGCCAGTAAAATGCTTTATTAATCATTCAAAATGTTCATGTGCCTTCCTAATGGATTTATGATTACTCTTATATTAGTTTTCATTTAAGGTGAAGGGATATGTATTTGAAGTTTTTGGATTTTAATTAAACAAATATATTCTCTAAGCTTCAAATTATGAATCAAAATGTAAATCTATGAACACTTGTTCTTGATGAATCTCATCACAATATAGGAATCGAATTCAATAGAAATATGAATAGTCTTCCATCACAAAATTTTATCATTTAAAATTTTGAGTCAAGCTGATATTTTAAATGAGTCTAAACTAATTTAAAAACTGTATTTAATACTGACATTTATGTGCATTTATATTTTTCTTTTGTATTGTTTTATTCATGAAATATTTTAATAAATCGACAGCTGTTCAACACATTTTTTAAATTGTATTAAATTAAAATCATTATTTTACTCAATCATAAAATAGTCATGCTGAAGTATGTTTTGTGCAATTTTTTATTAATTTTTTTTAAAAGTTGTGCCAATATTATTTGCAATGTATGTTATTTTTATTGCATTGAATATTTTTTATTATTAATTTTAAAATCCATTTGCTTCTTGTGATATAAAATAAATGAAATTATTTGTTATAATTTTCAATTGTTTGTTATTAATTATGGTGCTTATTATTATGCCGACTTTTGCTAAGTTGTTAAATAGTATCAACTGAGCTTGTCCTTTTTTAATTTTTCTTATTTTGATAGATGTGTGTTTGCATAAATGCAATTTAATGAATGTGAAAGATTTTAATGTTACAAGTCTGTGATATTAGATTGATATGGTTAGTATATTTTCTGCAACAAATGTTACTAACAGTAATTAAAATCTTTTATATTTAGTATTCAATCATGAGCATTAATTTGAGATCAATTGCAAAAGAATATTTATGTTTTTAGAGTTTAATATTCGTTTCTAAATGTCATGACAGTCAGATTCAAGCTGTAAATCTGCAACCATTTTATGTTCCTTCTTTAATCACCAGTTTTTAATAATATTACTTTGTATATTTGTTGATTGAAAAATGCTCTATTTTGTCACAGCTGGTAAAATAAAATTCTGAATTTTTCAATTGTTCAGTTTATTTTTTCCATGTTCTCTATTTCTTTTTTTTTTTCTTTTCTCCCATCACTTTTCATCTTCCTACAAATTAAAAAAAAAAGTATCGAATATATTTTCAACTTTTTTTAAAAATATTTTCAAAGTAATTCTTGATTTTGATGGTCTTAGGTATCAAATTCATCTTTCTTATTATTCAAAGAAAGCCTTCAAATACTTAGTGATTATTTACTTACTAAATATTTTGGAAAATCTAATATTTCTATAATTTCATCTAAATATTATTACTTTTGTAACTTTCTGGAAATATTCACAAATAAAACTCTGATTAAAAGTATTCACTAATCACTTCATTCCATTAACTTATTGCAACAAAATTAAACATCAAATATTCAGTATTTTTTTTTATATTTTATTATTATTAGAACAAAATTACCTGCCATTACTATTATCAATCATCTGATTAATGAATACATTATCATTAAAGTATGCCTCAAACGCAGAAGTTCTCAGCTCTGCTGCATAATTACTTGCTAAAAAGTGATATGAGTTTAAAATGAAAACAATTTCGACATACTTTATCGTTTAATATTAAAAAACTAAATTATTTTTCATTACTCAGACAATACTTTGACCGTATAAATTGAAAGTCTGAATTTAATGTGTTAGCTTTTTGTATAAAAAAAAAGAAATCAAAGAACTGGACAAGGGCAGGAGTCACTGTCTCATCACTTGCAGTAACAATCAAAAGTGTTGACATCTTTTTCAGGATTACCAGAATATTTTTATTGCATATGAGACTGATTATTTACTGATTTCTCAAATCAGTTGCATTTCAGACAACATTTACTAGAGTACCAACAAATTATAACGCTCATTAAAATCATTTTTCTGTAGCTTCTTAAAATTTTTACACTATAACAAGATTTCTTTTGCACATTTTTATTACGCTATCGGTACCCTTGCCAAACTAAATTTTAGCAACAATTGATGAGTAATACGTGATAAACTTTTGGGGGGGGGGGAGCAGAAAAAGAAACATTGTTGAATGGGGCAATCTAGGAAGGTACCATGCTAGGGTATAGAAGATGGTTAGGGACAATTTAGGAAAATGGGCCTGTATAGTATATGAATTTATATATATAAAAAGAGCTACATTTAATTAAGGGCTTTTGAAAAATATCTAAAAATAATCACTGCACAAGCAAATGGCTCATCTCTGAGCTAAAGCTTATCAATTATTATTTCAAAATTCATAGTGTTTAGTATATATTTTTCGCTTTGCATAATGATTAAGCCTTCGAGATATTCCCTTGTTAATTTCGACCTGGGTCGAGTTTTAATCAATCGTAAATTCGTGACTACTCTTTCAGAACTTGTGTTAAGGATATTGTCAGCAGTATAGATTTCTATGTTCTGGCTAGAATACAATGTTAAAATCAAAATTTTAAATGCACATTTCACACAAGATCTGCACTGTTTCAAGTTTAAATAATTAGAATATTCAGATTTGTATGCATCGGAATCTAGATAATTTCCTGACCTTTATAATGAATTTTTCTTATCCTTATTTTGACGGAAATTCTAAATATTTATCAGCGATTGATTGATGTTTGGAAATTACAGGTCAAGCATTTATAAAGGATATGAGATCTTATCACAGTCATCCTAAACAAGTTCATCAGTTATATTAAAAATTCGTCCAGTGCAGAAGATGGTATAGTTTCTTTAACGCGAAACTCATTTCCAGACAGAGTGAAACCACACTTATTTCTTATTTAGAAACTTGCTTCTATTGATTATAAATAGCGAATCTCATTTAACTAATTCTTTTCCCCATGTTAAAAGTGGAAAGAGTTTAAAGAGAAAAAAAAGGATTTTTAACTAATTTTTTTAATTAAATTTTATTATTTAAATGTAATTAATACTATTGGTCGAGGTCGTCATTTGCGATGGGCGTGCTGAGAGTCGTCTCGTGGGGCCGTGGTGGCTCAAGAGATACTCTCTACCCACGTCCAATGACCCGGGTTTGAATCCTAGCGATAGCTGGTTAACACGAATTCTGCACCCGGCTCTCGCCGACTACAGTACTGACGTGAAATATCTTCAGATGTAGACGGATCATGAATTAGAGTCCTCTTGCACCGTCAGACTGATCCTGTTAGTTCCGTCAAAAAAGTCATACAAGAAGTCAAATTTCGTTAAAAAATTGATCCAGTACTTTCACCCAATACTTGAATTGGGTTAGCTGTTCAACGACGATTATAAATAAACAAAGAAAATGTGACCCCCGAGGAAACTGGCTGGTTGCTATACTAGGAATAAATTTCAAAAAAGTGTTTATAGGGGATGACTGTGAGTACAAACATATGTACAAGTTGAATTCGTCGTGTTGGTCTCCCTCTATGATGTTTTATTCCCTTCTAAACCTCTTTCATGCCACTCCCCAGTTATCGCAGAAATTTGGTCACTCTTTTGGTGTAGGTAACGATACAAAAACCGTCTACCTCCCTCTTTTTTCTGTTTCCTATGTGCCACTGATCCATAAATTTAGCAATTATTCGATAAAGGTACTGATATGAAAATCTTTATGTTACCAATTTCAGACAAGCCTCTATAGGAACATTTTTACTTCATGTAAAAAATTCCCAAATGTAAATGAGTAGCAGTAGTTCATTTACGTCGCACTAGAGCTGCACAAAGGGCTATTGGCGACGGTTTGGGAAACATCCCTGAAGATGATCCGAAGACATGCCATCACAATTTTGATCCTCTGTGGAGGGGATGGCACCCTTGCTTCGGTAGTCCGATGACCTGCATGCGAAGGCGAGCACTTTACTGTAGAACAGTTTAACGAGGACCAATACCGCACACCCTCGTTCCCTACGCAGACTGATCCAAGTGATCACCCACCCGCATGCTGACCGCAGCCAGTGATGCATGACTTTGGTGATCTGCCGGGAGCCGTGTCTTAACGATCAGTCCAGTGCGGGGCAAATGTAAATGAGAACTTAATGGGAGAAATAGACCTACGAAAATTTAGCTAATCGGGCTCTCGCTGGAATCCCCAACTTATTTGTGTGCAGTGAAAATGGTCCTTACATAATATGATATTTGGTCAATTTAGGAATTGGTAACTGGGCGGAGTGAGCTTGACGCTAGCTTTTATCCATCAATCTTCTTATAACCCNGCAGCCAGTGATGTTTGACTTCGGTGATCTGCCGGGAGCCGTGTCTTAACGATCAGTCCACTGCGGGACGAATGTAAATGAGAACTTAATGGGAGAATTAGACCTTCGAAAATTTAGCTAATCGGGTTCTCGCTGGAATCCCCAACTTATTTGTGTGCAGTGAAAATGGTCCTTACATAATATAAGTTGAAATTTTTTCTTCTTTTGATGGTAAATATACTAAACAAAAATAAGCTGTTATAAGCGCTTGAAGCGTGAACTACTAACATCTAAACTTCACAAGTTACCATGGCAACCCACCACCGTAATGTTTTCGAATCTAATGTTTTGAGTTTTGAATGCTTGCTACATTTGTAAGTAGGTCTTGGGTCTTTGGTTTTGTATTTTGAAAAATAAAAGTATTTCGTACTATCAAAGATTTCTTTGTTTTTTTTCGAATTTTTTTTATACAGGAAAAGGATGAGTTCAGATAATTCGGAATTACCTTTTTATATTCGCACAATGGATCATAAACGATGTTCTCAAATAATCAAAGAAACAAAAGCCGAAATTAAAAAGATGGAATCATTACGACCTTCTACTCCATTCGGTAAAAGGCTGTAAGTGCTATTTTTTGTATCCGTTTTTTTATTGTACTTTCAAACATACATTTTATATGAAAGTATTATATTTTTGTTATTAGTATTAATTTTTATTAGTTTTTTTATTTGCCAAAATTTTATTTTTATAAACATTTGAAAAAAAAAAATTCTGTTTATTATTATTTTTTGTATTCTTTTTGGTAAAAGCTTACAATAAGGAGACACCTCTTATTTAGGGAGATTTTTTAATAATACGAAATCACAATAATATAATAGGATAATGGAAGATTTCATGTGTAGTAAAAGAAGTAAGTTACAGTGCCTAATCAAAGGGACATCAAATTTTACACTCCAACCATATTTTATCTGACTTAAATTTTTTATAAATTTTATTTCATTAGATTCTCTTTAGTTTCACAATTTATTTAATTATTTTTTCTGTAAAATTTAAAAATGAAGTATATGAATTAACAGATTATTATTTGTACGTTATTATACATACGTTTTTAATTTTTTTATCAATAATGCCTTACTAAATATTTGATATGATTTATCATTATTATTGTTATTATTATTATTTTTTTTCAGTTTTCAAAATCATGAACAATTTGGTCTGCAAAGTACTTCAAGACCTTCCAGCTCTACAAGGTAAGAAACATTGTTTTATATGCAAGAAATGTATGAGTTTTCCATTGCATAAAATAATTTTTTTTTATTAATTTTAAATTTGATAATTATCTTAATAAATGTTTATGCATCTATTAGGTATCAGATTACCAACATTTTAAAAATGTTTAGATAGTTCTTGCGAAAATTGAAGGCGAATAGCTCATATATTAAGTGTTACGAATTAGTATTTAAGTGCGAAAAATGTTATTATCTCATAAAGGATTTTTGTAGGCGATTCAAAAAGAGGGTTTATCTGGATTAAAGAAAATCAAAAGCGATTTTATTTGTAGATAAAATTTAAAGGCATTTTTGATAATTGCCTTTAACTTTATTTTGTTATCATTCAATAAAAATCCTTTTTTCAATCAAACTAATTTTGATGTTTATCCCGATTTCTCAGTGTTAAACTTTATCATCAATTTGTTAGATTTTTATAACATTATCTTCTTCCATTTAAATATAAATTTTCCATCCCTAATGTGTTAGTTTTTTTTTTCTTTCAAATCTTCGCTACAGAACACCCTGTTTGTTACAGCATTAATCAGTTTTTAATAATATAATTTTATAAATATGACACCTAAAATCCCTTATGCTGACATGAAGTTTATTTAGCATTAGATCAATGGGTTTCAGGTTGTTGTAGCAGTGTGTTTTATTTTTTAAAATCTGAAACGATATAAATTTATTTTTGAATTATTCCATTTGGCGAGTCCTATGAAATAGAGCCAGTAAAATCTAAAACACTGTTTGATTGCTGACTTTCCAAAGAATTCTATTTCATAGTTTCCATTTAACATGATAATTTTTTATTTTATAATAATTATTTTACTAATATTTCAAATGATTCAGAACAAATTATTAAATATTAAAATCACATCCCATAATTATATTCTATGAAACAATTTCGGGAATTTAAGGAAAATTCTTATGCGATCTGTTTAAAGTCACCAATCAGATTCTCAGTTTCCCAATGCATAGTTTATATAAATACAAGGTAAAAAAGTTCAGACTTCACAACTCAAGGAAAAATTTTCTATCAGAAATTAAAATTTGTTATTAAAATACTTTATTTAATGCATCATATGTTAATAACAATAAAAGAGAAAATCGGAATATTTCAATTCTTATTTTATAATGTTTAAATCAATTGATCTTTTTATACTCTTTATTTATGTCAGTAATTTAACTGGATGACACCTGCTTCAACCAAACAGATTTTTATCCAATTGTTCCGTGTTATACATCTTGCCCATTTAATCCTTAATTTTTTTCGTAGATAATAATATTGGAAAAAAATATAATTTTGCTTTTATATTTTTAAATCATTTTGAAACTCAAAATATTAAAAATAAATTTAAGTTCAAGTTTTCTATTTTTTGTTAAATTGTTATTTTTATTATTTTTGTTTTATGATTTTTTATTGAAATGATTTTATGATACTTAAAAATCTTTTATCTTCATGTATTATTTACATTAAAATATTTTTAGCATTAAATCTTTGAGATATGAGCAAGAAGAGAAACATAAAATACTGAATCCAATTTCATCATTTGAAAAATCCAAAAAGGTAAATTTTTATTGTTTAACCTCTTTTAACATTTTTATGCTTTTAATCTAGTTGCTTTCTTGTATAACAAATACATTTCTTACCATGTTTTTCATTAGAAACATAATGTATAAAAGAAAATATTTTACATAATGTTTTCAATTGTTTACTGTTTTGAGAGTTAATATTTAATTTAGCAAAGTTTATGATCAATATTGGCATTTTTAAATTTTTTGTATGATTTCTTTTCAAGTATTTTTTGCATCAGCAAATTAGTGTGTTTTAAATAATTACAAAAAGTTAATCTTCATTATGATCCATTTTGCACAGAAAATTAGTTAATAAAACACAGTTTATCTCCAAATTTTTATATGAATAAGAAAATCATATGGCTTGAATTCTTTGTGTATCATTAGTTAATTATAATTCATTTAAAATTTTATGCAATAGATTATTCATTTTTTATTGAGTTACATATAAAATGTGTAAATAAAATAAATTAGATGCTTAATTAATTAATTTTTTTATGCGATTAAAAAATTATTAGTTAGTCAAGAATTGTCAGAAATTTTTTTAAGAGAATTATTTTTTATAAAGACATTACTAAGATATAGTATTCTTTGAATTAGTAAATGATTATGCACTTCTTTATAAATTTCAACCATACATTTAAGGCGTAGAAATGTTTGCAATTTCAGAAAGAAAAACCCCCAGTGAAGTAAGATTAAAAACTGCAATAAAATGTTCTATGATTAAATAATCAATCACAGGAAAAGGTCATGAAAAGTTACTTTTTTGAAATATGTTAATGTAACGAAACTTTATAAAGGCTCTTTAACAAAGTAAAAAACTATTAATATGATTGATAAATATTTTAAGGCCAATCAAATTCTTAATAGTTTAAAAATTACATTTTTAGTATTTTTAAGCATTTAAATTTTTTTTAAACATTTAAATAAAAAGTACTCATGGAAGATTTTAAGTATTTCTTTTTATGAATATAGAGTCTCACAAAACAGGATGTAAAACTTGAACCTATCATTACGAAACCTGTTCTTTGTTTTCGGAGGTCTTCAAGCTCTTCTTTGAAGAACAAAAATGACATAGAGTTTTCCAGATTTCCCCCTTTAAGTAGTGAGTATAGTTTGTATTTCTTAAATTGTATAATATGTATCAATTGTATAATACTTTTTTTGCATTTAAAATAAGTTATTTTAATGTAAAATTTAATTTAAATTTATGTTAAAACTAAATGTACCCAGCTTATTTATATTTATTGATGTTTTGGATTGTCCTTTAGGATTTTAAAATATATTATATTTTTTGATTAATTATTATTAACTTGTTTGTTGTTTACAAATTAAATTAAAAATGCTTAATAAATGAGTGTTTTTTTGTAGCTCATAAGTGATTTATTGCAAAATTATTAAATGTATAAGATTTTTATGTGCTGTCTTTAATGTGGCGAAAAAAATTTATTTTACATCTGCTGTTACAAATTTTGAGTAATATTTAACTGCAAAAGGCAACTAATTTGTGAATTGTACGTAAGTAGCTAAAAAGGAGCGCTAAAGTTCTTTTATTAAACTGAAACTTCTTAAGTGTGAAAACTTTCCATTGCTGATTTGAATTTTTTAAATATTTTTCCTAAATTTGAACATTGAAATACATTACAAATGATTATATACTTTGGTTATTCAATAGCCATTAATTTTGTATTAAGGGTCAGTTGAATGCTTTGAAAGATGATATCAGAAAGTTTTTATCTCTAACTGTTATTGTAAGAAAATAAATCAATATAAGTTTATGGTACACTAAATAATTGAATTGAAAAGATCTTCTGATTATTTGATGATTTAAAGTTTCTAACATGAGGCTAGTGTCGAGGGTGTCGGATAATCAGGGTTCTACTCTACTGTCAAAAATAATAAAACGTCATAAAAATTGGAAAATTTGTGAAACAGTATTATACTTCATAAATATATGACTATGTGAAGTTTAGATATTTACAATAAATGAAATATTGTAGAACATTTTTTTCCATCAATAATAGTCTGTATAAGATTTAGTGGACCATCTAAAAAAAGCATAGATAAGAAATGTTAAGAAATAGTTGATCATGATTTACTTCCCTCTACTATTGTACATTATATTTAAAATTTTTTATTAATAAAAATTATGTTTTTTCTTTCAAAATTTAAAAGTATCTATAGTTTTTTTAGCTTAATGTTAGTAATTTATTTAATAAATGTTGTTACCTAACTTTGTATTGATTGTTTTTTTGTAAAACTAAAACTGGTAAAATTGTCTTGACCTTTTGTCAATTTATCTATGAATATCTATTACAATTATATAAAGTTTTTTTTTTAGCTTAATGTTAGTAATATATTTAATAAATATTGTTACCTAACTTTGTATTTATTGTTTTTGTTAAACCAAAATTGGTTCAATTCTCATGACCATTTGTCAATTTATTTTTAGGTATTCTATTGATCTTGATAAGTATATTTTTTAGAATATTCAATATATTATTTTCATTGTCAATATCATAAATTTTTTGCTACTAATTGGGTTTCTTTTCAACTCAACTTTTCAATTTGATTTTTTGACTCAACTTGTTTTTTCTAGAAAGAAATATTTTTATTAGTGAATGTTTTTCAACAATCTTAGTCATTAGAATTTTCTACAAATTGTTCAAAGTAATTGAAAATTTTGATACATATATTATTTTTTTACTCTTTATAAGCAGCAATGATTTTAAGAATTTTGAACGCCTTTCACTGTATCCAGTTTTTGGATACCACCCAAGAATTAAATTGAAAACATACGACTTTTATAAAAATGTCAATTATTTATGATCCATTCAAAATTTGTATCTAATTTCTATTTCTATTTTCATACTGCACTTTGGATGATTATTAAAGTACTTAAAATCCTTTTGCTTCTATAATACCTTTTACAAACAAAAATTATGTATGCATTTTTATTTCATTTTATACAGCTTTAATATCCCCTAGATTTAATATTCCCTCGTACATGTCTTTGTTTTGTTTAAATTAGGTAGATATGATGAAAATTTATATGGTCTTAAATTACTACGCAAAATTAAATTTTACCCTACAGGTATTTTTTTTAAATACATTTAAGAAACTTTTTAATATTTAAATATAATGTTTAGGGTAATTGAGATATGTTGTACTCTGTGCAAATAAAATAATTGCTTAAAAAGAAAAAAAAAAAACTTTTTATTTTGTACCAGGATGCCAAGTATTAGTTTTTTTTGTGGTTTTACCTGGCTCATATAAAATTTGCCGTGTTTTATATCAATGTGATTATAATTTAACTCAAAGTTTTGAATAAATATTTTGTCTGAATTTTAGCCCAAGAACAGAATAATAGACTTTCTTCCAAAGATTCTACTGAAGAATCTAGAAGGCATTCAAAAGATTCTCTATCTGGTGAAGAGAAGTTCATTCCAGTCAACCAAAATCTAAACTATTCCAGCGAGAGCTTAGATCATTCTTCTTTAAATGAGCCATATTTTTCAGAGCTAGTGAGGTTAGTCCAAGCTGAAATTTTTTCTCGAAAGTTTCATTGTTGGGAAACTTAAGTTTTCTTTTTTGTATTTGTGATAATTTTTTTATTTGCTCAACTTTGATTATGTGATAACTATTTTTGATATGTTTAAAGCTATTTTGTGAAATTAATAAAATCAGTGAACTTAAATAAAGTTCACAGATGGTTTCACCTGCCTCTGATAAGATTTTTCAACTCTTATTTCCGTATGAAATGTGATTTATTTATTGCTAAGTTTTTATTTATGATTTTTTTGAGAAACAAAGATTAATGTTTTCTCTAACTAGAATGAGAAATTTAAAATGCATCCAAAAGATTCTGAATCAGGTTAAACAAAATTTAATCTAGTGTTGGCATTAAGTTGAGAATTAGATCAGAAGTTAATTCTGTGTTTTTATACTACTAGAAGTAGGTGCTTTATTATAGTATCTAAGTAATTACACACTTGTTTAAGTAATTTTGTAATTTTTTCATTTTTTTAAAACTTTATTTATAAAAAGTGTCTTAGTTACGTAGTCACTACAAAATTTGTATTTAAATTTTATGATTTTTTATCATTTAAGTGTTTTCTTTTAACTATTTGATTTAGCCATCATTTTAGGGGGAATTTATTGTAGACAACTGGAGTGTTGCAAGTAAACGATGGCGAAAGAAGTTTTATAACTTGGAATCTTTGGGGTTAATGTAATGTGAGGGTCTAAAATTCCCTTCATTATCATCAATGACTTAAATTTAGAGGTGGGTATTTAATATGGTTACCTAAAGAATTAACGAATATGAGGGTGACCAAGATTTCTTGAAGACACTGAAGTGAAATTGAGAAATGGTTTTTAAAGATTTAAGTTGTTGCGATAACACTTAAAAAAGTGAAATATATTTTTTGTGAACTATTTATAATGTTCTGAAATATGTGGAATGTTGATATATGTGTGATATTTAAAAGAAGACCCTTAACAACAAATGACAATACTTTTGATGTATGTACTGAAGAGAATCTGTACCTCAAATACCTCTCCTAAAACTCAAAATTCTTCAGTTGAAGTTCATAAGCCTTCATCTGAAAATTCAAGGAGGAAACAGAGAAAATAGCTATTACTAAAGATCTGAACTTTGCCAATCAAAATCAGCAAGACTTCTTGAATAATAAAAAATTATTACTTCTGCAAATAATAGATCTGTAGCATTTAGTGAAAAAAAGTAAGCTTATACCAATATACATCGTAAAAGAATTGTACAATCTAAAAATTTTGCTGGTGTCATTGTCAATAACCATTTTGTTCTTTTTAATAGTATCCCTACAGTTTAATATTTTGGTTTGTCCTCTGTACCTAAATTACTATAAGAAATTTTTCATAAGTGTTTTTTAACTTATGAAAATATGTCAAATTGTGTGAAATATATGAAATATGTCAAGAATTATCTACTTCAACAAGAATATAATTCTCAAGATGTAATTTTTCTAAACTTGAATAACACTTTTTATTTATTTATTTTTTTTTTTAAATTGCATTTTTTATTGAACCTTATTTACATCACTTAAATACATCATCGAAAACAACCTGGGTTATCATTTATAATGTGGTAAATGCTTAGCATTTTAATTTAATGTTGCTAACAGCGTGTTTGAGATTTGTAATAGCCAAGGCACTATACCTGAAAATTTAAATTTTCAGTACATAGCCAGTGGCTGGTAGACTCTAATTACTTAGTTACCACTTTTTTCTCAAACCTAATGACTGATATTGATAGGCCCTTTTTATTTAATAGCCACTTTTTGCATTTTTTTCCTTTATTAAATTATATATTTAAAAAAAATCATATTGGAAATAATTTAAGGGTATAAAAAGTTAATTCAACAATAAAAATAATATAAATAATTGACAAATTATTCATTTATTTTATCATAGAAATATAATATTAAATGAGAAATGTAATGTTATTTTACATAATTAATGATTGTATCCTTAATTTTGATCGCTGAATTTTACATTTAGCTCTTCTGGGGAATTGTCTAAAGATAATGAAAATGAAGAATTAGAAGAACTTTCGCAGAATCTTTCCTTTCTTTTCCCATCATTAGAAATGTGCATTAAGCAAGGTAAAATTTATTTTATACAATGTATTAAATCAATTAAATATTCTTTCACTGAAATTTTGGTATCTTGGGCTTCTATACTTTCTATTTCTATGTTATTTCATGCAGAATTGTAATGTTTACACCATTTGTATCTATCATATTCTTAACATTATTTGTCTTTGTAAATAATACATTTTTAGCTATTATGGACGTTATTTTATATCATTTTCATTCTATTGATAACATTTATAAAAATGCTAATTTTTAAAGTGACTTTTTATACTTTAATCTAAGAGAAAGTGTCACACAATTATTCTATATAAATGGAAGATTAACCATCAAAAATGCACAAATTTCTTTTGTTTCTTATTTTGTTCTTTGTTAGTATTGTAGTAATTGTTGTTTCCAGCCTAAAAATTTTGTATACTTATTCAGAACGAGGACATTTTAGAGAATTTGTTTGTTTTCTGATATACAACATATATTAAATTGAAAACTATTTTGTTTATGCTACTCTTCCATTGCCTTATAAATTTGGATCGTCTGATCAAATGCCCTTGAAATCTAAAACAATAAATTAAAAAATTGTTCGAATGGATTATCCTTTACAGAAGGCACTATTAACTGTTATTTTTGGCCAAGAAGGTAATTTATTTTGCTAAAGAGCTATTAAGATTTATGCTTTAAAAAGTTCTAAAGTGAACTGAAATATTTTATGTAGTATATGCTAAATAGAAAACCACTGTATCCCACCCCACTTTACTTTATTAATATACTAAATTTAGCTGTTAGGTTACTTTTTTTAGTGATTGCTTTTCCTTTTTTTTCAATTAACCCGTTTAATTTTCTGGAAGACTATTTTAAGTTTTTTTTTGCAATTACAACATTAAACAATTAAACCTAATTCTAATTACATCCTAAGTAATAAAACAGTGAATAGAAATTTATTCGAACAGTGGCTCCTAATTCTCAGCTTGGCTTCTTTTTCATCACCTGACTTTCTCCTCCTGTCTTCCGAAAGAGACAGGTTGTCGGAGAGACAGGCCAGTAATCAGGGTTCGTTGATTTAAATCAGCTTGATTTAAATCACGATTTAAATCATGATTTAAATCAAATGATTTTCTAAGAAAAGACATTGATTTAAATCAACTGATTTTTTTAAAATATATATATTGATTTTAAAAGTTGAAAAACAGTGTTTTAAATTATTGATACTACTTTTATTGTTTTCTTTTCTTAGTTTTAAAATTTATTTTAAATAAATTGCTGTGTTAATTAATTTTAGTTAACGAAATTGCTTTCTTTCTTAGTGTGTGTTAAATTCCAACACATTTGAAATTACATTTTAAAAAATCTTTTGATTCTTGAGATTGAAAGTATACACTTGCTGTCTTAATATAGACTTGCATAGCTATAGAAAGTAATTAATAGACATGAATTTCGAGAAAAAAATACAAATAATCTTAATTAAAATTCTACCTTTTGATTGAAATGGCATGGAATTAAAAACTACATTTTATTAGTGGAAAATGTATATTTCTAAAGTTTGAGGTTGTATTAAAAAGAAATTACCTTAATATGCCAAAAATAGAAAGAAAAAAAAGGCTAATGAATTCAGATATTTTTTCCTAATATGTTGTCATTCTTCCCTTTCAAAGTTTATTTGAGGCAGTAGAGTTATTAACTCGTAACTTGTGTTTTTTTCTCATAATACGTTTACGGAATCTTTGACATTATCAGATTTTCTATAAAGAAATTTTGTGAAAAAAAAATTCCAATGAGTGCATAGATTTTTTAAAAATTTTTTTTAGCTGATCTATTTTGATTTAGAATTAAAAATGAATATTTTAATATTAAAATATATAGATTAAATATTTATTAATTTTTTGATGAATGACTACATTTATAAACACAATCTCTTACATTTCATTTTGTCAGATTAAAAATCAAGGGAAAAACAACACAATTTTAAATTAAAATTGTGGTTTGCTAATTGAAACTTTAATTTAATAAATAAAGAGTCTGCCCAAGCCAAATTTGCTAATGCTTAGGGTACCTTCACAAATTCAACTTTGGAAAATACTTTTAAAAAATACTTTTTTTTAAAATTTTATTTTTGTGTTTCGTAAGAAACGAATAAATCCGTATTTTTGTGTTGATTTTTTAATATTTTTAATTTTTCACAAATTATGTCTAAATTTTCACAGAATAAATACCTCTCAGAAAAACCTAGATAGACCCTTTTCATTAAATTCTCTATTTCATCTAGTCTTCAAATTTCAATCATGCATTTGTTTCAAAATGGTTACCATGCATTCAAGGCTATGTATTATAATGAAAAATTATATTAGTAAGTTAGAGCTTCTATAATATTGTTAATAATATTGTCTTAACATTAATTTAATCTTGATTAAACATTTATAAAGTATTTTTAATCATAAATTAAAGTTCTTACAATGTGTTTGAGTAAAAATAAAAAAAAATCTGATTTAAATCAAAAATATCTGATTTAAATAAAAAAAATCTGATTTAAATCAAAAAAATCACAAACCCTGCCAGTAATACAAAAGTAAAAAAACAAAGTGAATTAAAAAATGCTTTTCCAAAGGAAATAATCAAACTTTAGGTGCTGGGATTTAGAGAGGAAAAGTATTGCTGATCCACACTTTATCATAAATGAAAGAAATTTTTCTTTCATTTTAAAAAAGGGAAGGCGCTTAAAAAGAGCGAGTGAGGAAAGTTTAACAGATATAGATTTTATTATTATTATGTCTGTTTTTTATTTAACTGAAAATTAGTTTTGTTTAAATCTTCTTAAAAAATATTGAATTTTATGTATTTTTTTCACAGTTTGATATTTTTTATTCTTAGGTAATAAGAAGCAAATAGAAGAAAAGATAATGGTTATCAAAGAAATATACATGCACTTGGAAAGAAATAATGCTTTTATAAAAGAATTTAGCAACAGGACACATTTATTAAAACTATTATTTAAACTCTTAAATTCTAATGTCCCTGATTTAAGTATAAAAGTTATTGGCATTTTATTAAAGGTGAGTTCTTAATAATTTCTATTTTGATGATGTTTTTGTCTTAATTATTTCAATGTAAAATTTTAATTGCTGTAAAATTTTTATAGATGTTATTTGTTTTTGAAATTACTCATATGTAGTTCAAAAAGTTTGTGAACATAAGCTTAAAGCAATGATTTATTTCAAAATGCAATTCAAATTTGCAAAAGTATCATTTATAAGTGGTAAATACATTTATGTTTTGTGTGAAGTCACACTCTTGAGTACACACTATAAAATGTTTGCCAATTCACACTATAAAATGTTTATCAAGTCACAATAGAAAGTGTTTTGTGTTATTTTGAAAAAAATACTTTTGATGTTTTTAACTTTTTAAATTTTTTTTTGCTTACGATAATTTATAATTTGAATTCTTAACGCTATTCTTAGTTTGAAAATCTACACATTTTATAATTTATAAAATGTTTAAACTTTGAGAAAAAAAAGCCTTTTTTAAAAAGTACTTGAGTTCTTGGGGAAAAAAGTTTTGTTATCACAATTTCTGCTTTGTCAATTTATATAGCTTTAAACAGTTTTAGTTTATTTTTGACTCTAAACTTTTTTTGTTATTGTCATTGCAATTTTAATTAAATAAGACTCTTATAATTATATAGTAGCTAAAACTCTTAAGTTACAAGACAACAAAATCACAAAATTTCGACTTCATCTTTATTCAATGTGTAAGTTCTTGAAGCAAACTTTATCTAATGACTGAGTACACTTATTTTATTTTCGGTTTGAAGATAGGTTTTTATTGTTTAATTTATTGTTTATATCTTATGGTAATAAAGTGTCAAAAACTAGTAGTTAGAATTGTGTGTAAGATTCCTATGACGAAATATTAATTTTTAGGTTAAAGCTGTTATGCAATTGCTCCATTATGCAAGCAAATAGATCATAATATTTTTGAGCTATTTGATCTAGATTAACTTTTCTGTTTTCATTTGCTTTTTTAATTTATAATCAAATTTTAGATATTTTATTTCTTTAATTCAAAAAATTCCAAAATTATTTTCTGAAATTATTTTTTTCTTTCACAGTTATTATTAATTGCAAAAATATATTCAGGAAAAGCTTAAATATTATTTAAGCTTCTAAAGAAAAAAGGGTTTTATGATTTGCTTAATTTTTCTGACAGGGATTTTTCTGACATAATCAATGTTTCTTTAAGACACTAAAATCTTCTTGTTTTCAGATTTTTTTTAAATGTTAAAAAATGAAATGATAAAGTTTGAAAAAAATTAAGCTTCGTAAGATTTAAAATAGGTGATAAATTTGGGAAAAGAAAAAGTTGTCGAAAAATTTTGCCAAAATTTTATAAAACAAAATATGCGTTTTTTAATGCAAAGTTACATTCTTTCCCTTATAATTTTAATTAAGGGTATCTCTTTTTTAATTTACTAACAACAAAGTTTTCACTGCAAACGTTTTTCCTTCTTTTAAAAATAAGTGAATTTTCTTAAAAAGTGTATAATTTTATATTATATACTTTTTTAAAGAAACTTCTTAAATTATGAAAATTTAATTGCCTTACTTTTATCCATCTAACTATAGATATACATATATGTATTTATTTCACTCTTTTTTCCTGATTTCAGAAGTGTAATATTATAAACAATTTGTATAATAGTAATATTTGCCTCTATGTATTTGGATACTTCTTTTTATGTTCAACTTTTGTTTTGTTAATTTGTTTAACCACTTTTTTTTAATAATATTTTAGTTGTTTAAAATTTAGCTGTAGTTTATTTTTTTAAAGTATTTTAGTTGCATTCTTAATAATAAATCACTGCTTTCTAATTAAGAAAAAACTAGTAAAATCCAAAACTAAGTTTTATATTTACTTTTTAATGATTTTTTTTATAAAACACTCATGAATGTGCGTATTTAAACAAAACAATAAGTTTTTCCTTTAAACAATCTCAATTAGTTTGTTGAAAATTCAATACTCTGATAAAAATTTAAATTTGTGTCCACAATTTTCTTTCTTAGTTGTTTTTTTGTTATTATTAAATATCAAGAAAAAAAACAAATTTTCTCACCTTTTAGCAAACATGTTAATAAGTATTTTTTGTTGAGGGATTTTTAGAAATTTGCTATATATCTAATTGCATAATACAAAGAGATGTTACTATATCCTCTTTTATAAAACACAAGAAGTGTTACATAATGTTATTTAATGTTATATTTATGTTTTTTTTCCTTTTTGCTATAGATGAAAATGAAAGATAACAATTTGACAAATCTCTTCAGATTAGCATTTAAACTAATGAAAGAAGATTGTTGGTCAAAGTATGATGATGGCCAAGTAATTGGTAAGAATTTTAATCTAAGAAAACTTTCTATATTTTTGGTAAAGATACCCGTGTAATTATAAAGATATACATAATATATGTATTTAAATTCATTTGGCTCAATTCAAATATTTTAAATGGTGATTAAGGAAAAGTTTAGCTTATTTGAGGTTAAATGTTTATGAAAATTTGCATTTGTTGTAATGTTTTGAAAATATTTTTAGTTTATTTATAAATTTTTCCTCTACGGTTTTAGTATTGTGGGAGTTTTTTAGTACTTTATTTTAAACTCATTTGTTTATATTAATTGCAAGTTTAATATAAACAAATATGCGTATTATATTCATTTTTTAGACATAATCCTTGAAAGTATGAATGATATATCCATCGCAACTGACAAAGGAGCAACTATATATTGTTTAAAAATTTTGAAACAAATAATATGTTCAGAGGACTTGAACTGTGAACTGGTTGAAAAGTGCATAATTGTTATATGCCATCATTTAAAAGAAATCAATCATTATGTGAGTATTTTTATTAATTTATAATTTATTTACTTATACTTTCTGTACTGTTTGAATTATCCCTCTATTTATAAAAATCTGTCTGTATGGATGCTTGATAATAACTCTGGAACAGAAGCACCAATTGTGTTTTATTTTTCTGTAGTTTGCAAATTTTTATCGGGTGGTTTGTAAACAATTCTCACTTTCTGGAGGTGTGAAATTCATGCAAAATATGAAATTTTATTGTTTAAACCCACCACCTCACCAGTTTTCTAATATCTTTTTAATGGCTTCGCTGATTAGCTCAACGTTTTTTGTTACAGATTGCGATTTTTTTAAACCATTTTGTGATATTTTCTATCCCTCTACATTTTGGTTTTGATAAAAATAGTTGATAAGATTTTACACCAGTACCTAAATGTCTCAAAAACTCAATCGCCTACATATTTCTCCTTTATTTTCCGATAAGTTCCAAAATATCTATATTCTTTAAGGCAAGAGGTAAACACCTAAATGTACGAAATGTACATAAATTATATATTCGAGGAACATTTTAGACTTAGATTAGTTGTACATATCTCTTGGGTCTCAATGCTAAGAAAAAGAAAGCTTTTATTAGTAAAAAATCTTTCGTCTGAGTTTTAAAGAAATTAAATAAGCTAGTTAGCAAACAAAAGTGTTATTTTGTCTATCAATTAAACGTGTAATTTAAACCCTAAAGCTTAAAAAGGTAGTGTCTGTCCAATTAAAAAAAAGGATTTATCAAAAAATGTATACAGTTTTGATAATTTAAGTAAGAAGATGCATGCTATACTGTCTCAAATTTTCACTTTACATTTTTAACAATTCACGTACCTTCAGATGGGGTGACTTTGTGCAAACTGTAATAACTAACATTATAATAATTAAAAACAAACAATTATGCATGATTTGTTATCTCAATTGATAAGACTTTTAAAGTATAACCTACCTTCCTGGCCAGGATAACTAGAACTTCTTCAACAGAGCAGACTTTCCAGCCTCTGATTTTGCGACGTTAAAAAATTTGAAACTGTTTGTAACTTGAGCTCACAATTTTTCAAGAACGATGATGTTGCCAGTTCTTGGTAAACCATTAGTTCGTTATGTTGACAACTGAAATCAGTTGATACCGAGCTTTAAAAAAATACCCCTATATGGCATGACACAAAAATTTAAAAAATGACAGTTTGCACAAAGTCACCCCATCTGACGGTAGTGAAAGAATATAGACGCATATAGAATTTGTGGCTTGAAACTTATATTGACAAGATTTGTTACATTTTAGATGTATCAGTTTTTTTCTTTACTTCTTGTCTTATCTTTTTCAGTTCTGTATGGCAAATGAATGGGATTATAACCATAATCAAATCATCATTCAGGTATAACAGTTCTTTTCATTTGTTTAAATTAGAGTTTTATAACAGATTTTGTGATATATTTTTGGTATAAACAATGATAAATACAAACAGTTATATTTTTCATAGTTCTTGATGCTTCTACATTGTTCAGCTGGTAATGAGAAAACTAGAGGAATATTAATTCAGTGTGATTCTCTGCATCAGGTATTGAAAACACTTCACAGTTTTTATGAACATGCTGACATAGTTCAAATAGCAGTAAGATTTATCAGGTATATTTGCAGTTTTTCATGTACATATTATTTCACTTATGTCTTTATTAATATTTTTAAAAGGATTACGTTCTTTCTAACCTTGCTATTTCAAAAGCCTTTTTTAGAATTCTTCAATGATGCATTATCTAGATCAGTGATTCTTACCCTTTTCATGCCTAAGGACTCTTAGATGCCTCTTTGAATATTTCGAAATAAAATTGTTAAAATAATCGTAAAATTATTTGAAACTGATCACAAAAAAATTAAATCATAATTGTTTTTATTCAAGGTCAGCACTTTCACTAATTTGTTAAGACAAAGACCCTATTTGTCAGTTAGATATAAGTGAAGATTAAATAAATGTAGATCATAATGCGTACAAAAAAATCAATAATTTAAAATGTTTTTTTGTCATAATGATTTTCATTTATTATTTATATGCACAACTACTTGTTTAATATGTGTTAAAAGCATTTGAATTTAAATAAACATAAAACTGTAAAACTAAATATAAACTTAACATAGACTAGACATCTTATTAAAATGTTTTAATTTACTAGCAAATGTTTTTTATACATAGTGGAAAGTTATAATTTAAAAGTTTCATATAATTTTAATCTTATATTTGGTCTTCATTTACGTCAATTTTGAATATTAAGTGATACATTATTTGCTCATTATTTTTTCAATTAAAACCTTCAATTTCAATGAATCAGTCAATTAGACTTAAATATATTCTTCAGATAATAATTTTTTTTAAGTCAAGGCAGACTTAAAAAGTATAATTACTCATCGTTCCTAATTAACAAAAAATTTAATTTAATTTTGATTTGTTTCTTTGATATCTTATTTTTGAAATAGTTTTCTAGCAGTTGAATTTTTCCTTGGTGAGCGTTCTGAAATATCATCTATATATATAAAATTTTTTAACTACTTATTTTAAATATTCATCTCGCCACGTAATGCTAAATAGAGTTCATCTCAATTCTGACTGGATGAACTACAAGAAACGTGTTTGCTTAAAATAATTACGTAAAGTCACCAGGAAGGACAGCAAATAATAATAATAAAAAAAAATTATTTTAGCTTTGTTAATTGAAAAGCTTTGTGGAAAAACCATGTAAGTGACATTTTCGAAGGAGCTATAATCGTTGTTAGAAGAAAGTGGTCACCCAGCAATTTTATTATCGATTTATTGGAGACGGTAGACAAATAATTCCTCATTTATTTTATTTACCAATGCCTAATTTAAAAATAAGAATAATATTGATGGAACCTGCTATTTTTACTGATTCATATAAATAAACCTAAGAATGTCACTTACCTGGTTTTTTACTAAACTTTTTGACTGTTTTGGCATATGCCTTTTAGTTTTCTGCTTGATTTATGAGTGTTGTTTAGTACAGGTTAATTGATTTTTTTTATTCACCACTTAAGAAAAACAGGTATTCAGCTAGTTCTCAAACAAAAATGGACAATGTTTTTCATATTTAATTTAATAAAATAATTCAATAAATTTTCTAGAAATAAACTGTTATAGTAATTTCTCATGTTCTTTTAATTAAGTAAAAAACAATGATATGATATTAAAACTATGATGAAATGATATTAAAACTAGCTTATTATCGTAGCAAATTTCTAGATACTGAAGGTTGCAAAGTTTTAAAACTAATTATTATATTATTTTTTGCAGCAAATTTTTAGATACTGAAGGTTGCAAAGTTTTAACAGATTTAAGTGATGCAGATTTATTACTAAATTTTTTATATGTTCTTGAACTTCACAAGTATTACATTGTAAGTAAAAATTTACAAATAATTTTTATTACTTCATTACAATATTTAACTTGTAAATTTTAGAGAAATTTAAAATTTGGGACACTTATTGTACCTTCAGAAATTGAATTATTAAAAATAAATTTAATTTATAATTCAGAATATACCACTAATTATTGTGAAAAATATGTTGAAATTTGGTAAAAAAAGAGGCATGTTTCATGTATTATTTTATATTAAATTTCTCTTCTATCTTTTAATTACAGTTAGAGATAAAATTGATGCTATGAGCATTTATTTTTGTTCATTTTATGGAATTAAATTTTAAAAGAGAGTAATTATTCTATGTAGAACTTTTTGATTGACATTATATAATGTTTATTTTCTACATAAAAAGTAAAGAATAAATAATTGGATGTTTTATGAATGTTAAACTTTATATAAATTTTATTTTGCAGGCTCTTCAGTTTTTTTTCTTCAAAGAAGCTTATTTACTGAAAATATTCAATAATTGTTTTAATGCGTTATTTGAATAAAAAGTTTTTCCAAATGATTGTTTTTTGAATTAAAAAATTAAGGTGCTAAATCTAGTTATTTTGAAAACATTATTTTTTGAAGTATGAATCTTTTAGCATTTTATTTTAAATTATTTTTCTTTAAGTACTATTAACTTATAAAGTCTATGGAAAGCAACTATGATATTGTTTGTTTGCTTAAAAGTGCTCTCTCTCTCTCCTGTATTTTCAATAAATAGAATATAGACANTAAAAAAAGATATTTAAGTATTCATTTTATTTCTAAAATGGTTTTAATAAATTCCTGCAGGACATTGCATTGCAAGTGACTTTTATTATTGGGAATTTGGTGTCTGCAAATGATAAAACAGCATTTATCTTCCTAAAGTCACCTAATTTTATAAACATCATGGTTGAAGTTTTAGATGTCTATGTTAATGAGCATATTCAAGTATGATTATATTTATTTTTACTTTTAATACTGTTTTTTTTATATTTGTGGTACTTATATTATTTTTGAATGTTTCATTCACTGATATTAAATTTATTTATAATAGTATGAAATGTTCAGCAAAAATTGTTTGGTTCTTGAATTAAAATTTTCAATTTATTTTTACATCACTTTGCTTGAGTTCAGAAAATAACTAAAGCATTTGAAACTAAACAAAGCTATATATTATTGTTTATATGTATTTAATCTTAAACCATGCTACTAAAAAACTTGATTGCTGAAACTGAAAAAATGTACTTGATAATTCATTTTCAAGCATATTAATAAATTACTGTATGAAAGTTTAACATTGTAATGCTGAAAATTTTAACAAATTTTATTTATTTAATTTTATACTTTCTTTTTTTTGCAGTTCAAAGAAAATGTATCTGAATGTTTTAGAAATTCTAATTCTAGTGGGGACAGTAACTGGACAAATGAAATTTTTGAAGTTATTTTAAAGGTATGCTTTTTAATTATTCTATTGTAACTTCAGTAACTGAATGGCATTTTTATTTTGTCTCAATGACCATAAATTAATGAGTAAATAGTGTTTTTTTTGTATTTTATTTAGGTGTTATGTGTTTGGGCTAATATTTGCCTGAGTCTAGAAGTTGGTACTTACTTGGCATCTGAAGAACTTTTAATTTCACATTTACTATCAGTTATTGGTAATGTATATTTCAATGTGTATCTAATATGCAATTTTATTTTATAATAAATATTTGAATATTGACCAGTTACAGTAGTCGATTACGGAATTAATTAGGGGAAAGCTGGAAATTGGTTTTAAAATCCTGCTTTGGGGTTAATATGGATACTTGAATTTTGCCCTCTCTCCCTAAAAAAGATTTTTAATCTTAAATTTTTTTAAAAATAGACAAGGTATTGTTTCCTACTTATTTTTTATGCTAAAAATTAAGTCGATAGGACTAATAGTTCAGATATTATAAAGGATATAGTAAGTATAAGGTGTAAAGAAGCCCAGTTTTTTTATTATGCCTATTTTGGGATATAAAATACCTATCTAGGTAGATGAGACATTATTTTTAGTGTATTTTTTAATGCTGAATTTAATCAAACCAAAAGTTGATAAGACTAATAGTTCAGATGTTATTTAAGTTTTTATGTTTAAAAAGTTCAGTTTTGTACTTATACTTATCTATACTTCTGACTGCTATGGAGACAAGCAAAGTTTTGAATCCTATGCATAGCTTAAGTATAAGTGCAAAAATTGTACTTCTTATGTATAAAGTTTTAATAACTTTTGGTTTTTTAATATTCTCCCATTTTGCCTATTCTTAGTGTAAATTCTACCTATCCCTAGTGGGAATTCAATAAAATTTCAGGTAACCGTTTTTCTGTTAGGAATTATCATAGTCAAATAAAACATATAAATGAACAGTATATGCATTAGTGTTAAGATAAAACATTGTTTTGGAATCTAGTAAAAATTTAAATTCTTCTGTGTATATTAAGTTTAAAAAAGGAAACATGTAAAATAAAAATGAATCTAGTAATTTTTTAATTTATACTTTGAATATTGTGCTTTTTGTAATTGCATTTACTTAAGAAAAAATATATTACATCATTAAATGAAGTTTTTATTTAACAAATTCCTTATTTTTTATAAACTGTGTTATTGTAATTAGTTTTAGGTTGGATGTTAAATTTGTAACATTAATTATTCAAGTTAAATTCATGAAATTCTTTGTTTTACATTTTCATTACTTTCTCTATGTTAGCCTATGAACATACTTTTCTCATTTGTTAATTAACTAATTAATGTTTTGATTATTTTTTGTTTTATTTTATGTATTGAAATGCTTCCTGTTTAACAACGTTTTTCAATTTTACTGTAATCTTTTTTAAAATTTTTATGAAATTATTATAATTTCTTTTTTGTCTGGAAAGGATCTTAAAAGTATAATTTTATTATTAAGTAGGAAAATTTTTATTTACATAAAATAATTTTTTAGTTTAACTGTTAACTTAGCTTATAATATTTTAGGAGCCTACACAGAAAAAGCCTCTGTATATGACACAAATTTTGCTTTATATTCATTCCTTGTTGTGATTGGCAACATTGCTTACTACTTACCTAGTTCGTCAGACATCTGCACTTCAATTGCTGAGTGTAAGTTTTTTCTTGAATTCTTAAGAAATTGATACATTAAATTGAATATCATAACCAAAAATTAGTCATGCGTTATTTTGATAAAAGTTTATTTGATTTTTTTTCAAAAGCTTTGAACTATTGCTTTCATACATTAGCAAAATTATAAAAAAATATAGAAATCAATTTAATCTATCCTCGGTAATTTAGATCATTAATAATATTGAGCAGAACTAAACACCTTCTGGCTTTCTCTTATTTTATTTTTTTACTCAACTAGCTTTTGTTCTTATTTCGTGTTATATGGATGTTGAGTTTTTCTGAACATAGTTCCGTCTTTGCACATTGGTATACTCATTCAAATTTTATTTTATTCCCTTTAAAATTTTATTTTCTGCAAATTGTGAACTTTCTTATACGTTTATTTTAAATAAAAATCATTTATAGTTTTATTTAAATAAATATATTCCATAAGTAAAAGCTATTGAATTTTTCCTTTCCATAAAAAGTTGAATTTAAACTACACCACATTGGAGTAATCTCCTGCAGAATTTAAGACATGCTTTAAGTCATGTTTATAGGACTAAAAATAAGGTTTAAAGTTGGTTTATGTACAAGGCGAAGGGGGCTGATATGTGGTGTTTTTTTTATTGCTTTCTATTTGCACAAAATAATACAGAAAGAAAAAATTATAACTTTTAAAAAATATTGGATTTTGTAGACGTTGTATTTTAAAACAAGCAAGATGGCTTAAATATTTTAACACATGTCATCACTGGGAAAGTTGTGGTCATTGCGAGTTATTGGTAGTTTTCTCCAGGATCAAACTAATATCATTTCAAGGACAAGGAAGCTCTCTCAAATTCTTTAGGATTTAATACCAAACATTGCAAAGTACATAACTATAAATTTACAAGGTTTGTATCTTTACATTTGATAAATCACTTCCTTTACTTAGATTCTAGTAATATGTTATACTTTAAATATGATAAATCTGCTGCAGTTGTAAATTTTCGACTAATATTTTTATTTAGATAATAATATTTGGTAAAACTCCTTTTGCGCTACTTTTTTATAATTTTTAGTTTTTCTATTTTAATTTTACACTTAACTTTCAAAATAATTAATCAAAAACTCAAGTTAGTTATTTGGTTTTCTACTTGAAAGTTTTATGTGTTAATTTTCTTATAGATGTAATAACACTTCTTGATCCTTCTTTTTCTCACGAAGTTCAATTAGAATCTGCCAACATTATTCGAAATCTAACAAGACACCAAGAAGTACGCAAGTTTATTCAAGACAATTCACGTGAGCTTTAGTTATAATTGCTTACTGTTATTAAAATTGTTTTTATTAATCATCTACTGATTATTTAAATTAATGGGTCTTAAAAATAGGTCACCTTCATCAAAAACCTATTTTTAATGATCTGTATTTATCAATTCATTTATTTATATATTTATTTTAAAGGTATTGTTTTGCTACTATGAAAGTATTTATTGCATCTGTACTTCAAGTATTGCTTCAATTTACTTGTTTTTATAAGAGTAGAAAAAAATTTTTTTCATCAAAATATTTTATATAATTTATTTTTAACAGATATGTTTCTAAAGAGTAATTCTTAAGTGATAAAATGAGTTTTGAGCAAAGGAAACAGAAATTGCCCATTGTTATTTTAAGCTCTACAATTTTAAATTATTGTCATCTTTTCATTAAAAGTAGTTACATTTAATTAAATGATGTTGTTCGTTTAAAAATCCTTAAATTAGATTTTATGTTTAAAGAACTAATTTTGAGAATAGAATTTTGATTTTACAATGAAACTAAAAATCAGAATGTTTAATTTTTGAAGATTTTTGTAACAAAATGTTTCAAAATAATTATTATTAAAAACTAAGTTTTATAAAAAGCATTTGTTTGAGTGACAAATGTCCTGTATTAGAAAGTTATAAAAATATAGATAATTTGTCTACTTCTGAATTATTTTAGTCTTTTAAAATACTGTTTTTAAATATACTATGGCTTGAACATATTATACCTGAGAAAAATGATAGTTTAAAGAATAGTTAAACTAAAAATTGTTAATGTATTTTTAAAAATTGTTAACTTTTGACCCTTAAAAGTGTTAAAAGTACTTAAAATAATGCAGCTATATTTAGCTGCCATTTCGGTTTTTTGGAACAAAAAACTAAATTGTTTTTTTTCCCTACCAGATGTATACAATATTTGATTGTATACATCCTTTTTGACAAATTTATTCATTCTCAGCTTGCAACATATAATAGTTTTATTGTTGTAAAATGTTTATATTTTGTAATTGAAATACATTTTAGTAAAATATACTTAATTAAGTATATTTAATTTAAAGTATTGATAATTTGAAGTCTTAATAATTTAACATACACTAAAATGAGATACATTTTAATTGTATTAATAACATTTTTACTTATATTTTTAATTATATTACCTAGATTGATAATAATATAGATGCTAATTTTTTAATGACCTTTAGTAAATAAAGTATGTATAAAACAGCTTTTTATGTCGATATGTTTTATGATATTTTAATATCTAAATACCTAATTTTAATATATAAATGCCTAGTTTTAATATCAACAATCTTTTTCATGTAAAGTACTGAAATATCATATTTCTTTTAGTATTTCCTGAATTCATGAAACTACTCAATGCAAGTGATAAAGAATTTAAAACAGCTGCTTATGGAATTATTATGAACCTTTTAATTGATCAAAGCACACATCAAATGTTTTATCAAGAACAAGGTATAACCAGGTATAGCATTTTTTTTCATTGATTCTTGAATTAAGATAAAAAAGTATTATGTATTCCATCCAAGCTTTAGTCTAGTGTTCCCTAAAATGCGGGCTCTAACGCACCAAAGGTCCATTTTTCACTTTTCGTATTAAGAATTGTCACGATTTTTCAACTATTTCTGTTGAAATATTTTTCTTTTATTTACTAATTTTTTTAAAATTAAACGTTTCTTGTTTAACCGATTCAACATTGCACCCTCTTTCAAAAAATAAACTAAAATTTTTCCTTTTCCAACAAAGATACTAACACTTTTAGCACTAGCAATTCTTCTTTCTAGACTATGAGTGTATCAGTTATAATGCTTTCGGCCAAGTTTACTGGTAAAGAGCTTGTTCTTGCACTAGATTATGTGACATACTTTGTTCAATACACTTTTGGTCTAGTTTATGGGTTAAAGGATTCATGGCTTTTCTGCACTAAATCTAGTGCAGAAATGCCATGAAGACTGCCATAATGTCACCAGATATACTTTTTTCATAACGTTTTTTCGGTAAATTTTTAAACTATGTCATAACAATGTCAGAAAACTCTCAGGCAAAGATACACAGAAATTCTATTACATCAGAGCTTTGGAGTCATTTGAAGCTAATCACATCTGGGAGTCTTAGCTAAGAAGCTACGAAAATAAAATGATACAATTATAATATAGGATGATATAGGAAAAAAGAATACTTGTAAGTCTTTTTACTTTTAGGTTAGTTTTGAAATATTTTTTTAAAAATTTTATTCTAAGGGTTCTATGTTTTTGCAGTAGTAAAACTTAATCTTAAGTTTAGTCTTTACTTAGTTAGTAAAACTTAATCTTAAATTCTTGCATTTTCTTTGAAATGTTATCTTTTCTTTTTGTTCCTCTCTCTCTCTTTATATATCTATACAAAGAATAATAATAAAATAAAATAAAATAAAATAGAAAAACTTTTAATGGGAAAACAAAAAGGTCTTCATCAGGACACATCTTTTACGATAAATGTGATATTTCTGATGTATATATATACATATTAGGAGGCTAAACCCGCTACGTGTTGTCTAATGCTCATCAAACCCTGATGATTGCTTCACAATAATTGCTGTTTCTTGGTATGAAACAGTTGAAATTATTCAACTGAAAATATATGTACTAAAAAGTTGTGCCTCCACTTCCCACGTCCAAATATTTCTCTTATGATACGATAAAGTTCTATAAGTGAACATAAATAATTTTTCTTGAGTAATAATTTTTTGAAATAACATGTAAAATTAAAAGTTTATTGTTATAACAAATTTGGTGAGTTTACAACTGTAATTTAATATTTTTGCTTACCAAACGGTAGGGTGTATTTTAAATACAATTTTTGCCTTCATCACTTTGTACATGAAGCTGAAAGTTTAGTTCTAAATCATTTAATGGATCTCTTTTACCCTAATTCATAATAGTATAATAATGTAATATGAACCAAAAAATAATAATTGTAAAATGATTCATAAGATCAGAGACGGATTTAAATAACTTTATCTTAAAATGTAACCTAGAATTACATTATTCTAATAATAATGGTAATAAAAACAATGCTCCTTAACTCTTAATTTAGAAATCAAATAAAATAAAAAACATAATAATAACAGAACAGATAATTTTAACCTTTAAATTAGGGAAATAAAAATATTTTTAGGAAAACAATAACTTTAGGACATATATGTACCAATTTTATGCTTATTATTGCAACCAAACCAATATGAAAATTAATGTGGGATTTTCCAGGTAATAAAAATGTATTGACAACACTGGGAAACTGAGACACACGCACACACCCATATATATACACACTATACTAGTTTAATATAATGTTAATAGGCTTGTTATGGAAAACATTTAATTAGACATTTTAAATTTAGGGTCTTGCATAAATTGCATTTGTGCACAGAACGTGATTGGAAAACCTCATCTTTGATGTGCCAAATACTCTGGAACTATTGCAATGGTTGTAATTCTGTTGGACAATATATTTCTAAATTGGAGGTGCAACATTTAATTAAGTTCCTGTCATATTCAATTTGTAAGTATAAAAGAAATATATAGCAGAAAATAAATACTTAAAAATAAATTTTTTTTTTTCAATGTTATGAAAATTTAAAAATAAATGTATCTAAAATTTATTTATATGGAATAAATTTTGATATTTTTAAATTTTTTTTTAATATTTGGTATTTGAAAGGAAAGAAGTTAAAGTAAGAGGAGTTTTCAATGTTGAAAACTAGATAAATTTAATATTATAATTTGAGTATCATAAATTCATTTATTAAAATTAATTATTTACTATTAATTAGGAGTTAATTCAAAGCTTTTTAAATATATTTTGAAATATTTAAATTATAAAAAATAAAATTTAATTCATCAGCATTAATTAAGAATCAGTGAATCAAAAAATTTTTTTGAAATATTATTTATAAAAAAGAGGAAAATTTTTTCCAGCAATCCTTTTATTTGTTACAAGTGAGATTTCTGGAAAAATAACCCGAATGAAATTTGTATTTAAAATAATTCTTGTGCTTAAGAAAAATTACAATAAAAATAAATGTATATATTTTCAAAATTATTAATTTTTAACGATAACGATATAGAAATCATTTTTACAAAACTACTTCTACCAATAAAATATATTTAAAATGTTCATTTTATCAGCTTTTTTCCCTAATTGCTTTTTTCTAGTTTTTTTCATCTAATTTTAAATTTTTAAATGTGATATTAAATGTATGAACTTAGTTCTGTAAAATTATATCATTAGAAGAAAAATGAATACTAATTGATGTTAAAATGTGTATTTTATAGATAAGGTGAGTGAAACTATAGAAAAAGAGGGAACCAGTTATTCAGACTGGAAAGATGAGTTTTGCCCAGTTGCACAAAAGCTGTTACATCTTTTAGAAACTCGATTTATAATTTGATTTTTTTTTCTTTGTAAAATTTCTACTTTTTATAACCTAGTCATTTTGTACTAACAGAAATGTGATGCATTTTAAAAAAAGTTTGTTTATATGATTTTAAATGGAGGATTTAACCATGAGCATTTGTAAATATTTAATGCTATGCTGATATTTATACTTTTTAATAAATTTTTTTATAGTGATCTTGTGTGAATCCGTATCAATTAAAGTAGCATGAATACAGGGCATTTTGTAATAAGACATATTTATGTTTTTTGAATCCTATTCAGAAAAGTTTTATTGTAGAAAAAATTCAAATTAGTAACATCTTTTAAAATATAACGAGTCACTACTGTGAGAGTCGCGGTGTGTCAGAGTATAGAAGAGCATTCATCTCCCAATGAGATCATCCAGGTTCGAATCCCAGCAGTGACTGGTTGATATAAATTCTTCTTGCACTGATCATAGTGTTGAGGCAAAATATTGGTTGACAGATCATGGGTTAGAATCCCCTTGCTGTCGGGCAAACCGTGGGGAATTTTCGTGGTTTTCCTCTCCTCCGCAAACGTGGGTTAGTTTAATCAAAAAGTCCACTACAAAGCTTGATCCAGGAGTTCCTTTGTCTTCTGAGTTGGACTCTAAATTTTTGGCCTGCGGTGTTGAACATTGATAGTCATAAACTCAAAATTTGATCTACTGTACAACGCGAGTCTTAAAATATATTAAAAAATTACTACTGAGGAAGGTGGGAGGGAAAGATCAGAGCATGTTTTACTGCAGAGAAAAAAATTACCTGTAAATAAAGCATTAATATGATTTATGTTAATGAACCTAATGATTGTAGAAGAAAATTTATATAATTAAATATACTTTTTCTGAGTAAACGTACTTTGTTTTCGATGGTTCCAAATTCTTACCTTCAAAGTATGTTAGTACAATCTGAAAAATATAATCTCGATAGTTTTAAGGGTTTTGCGTGTTGAACAATGTACCTTGGAACTATACGTAAATTTAAAAAAAAAAAACTTAACATAAAGAAGAGTCTTCCTACAGCGAAGTCTCCCTGCTAGCGAACTTTTCTCTGTAACGAAATTTGTAATAGAAATTTTAGAAGGCTCAAGGAATTGAGGGCTCACCTCCCAACGAAATGACTCTGCTCAGAGTTTGAATAGCAGTGATAGCTGATCTATAGGAATTCTGCTTCCGGCTTACATTGATTACAGTGCTGACGTAAAATATCCTCAGTGATAGACGGATCGTTTGTTAAAATTCCCTTTCTGTTTCCCACTATAATCTTGGAGTTTTTCGTGGTTTTTCACTCCATGCAACGCAAATGTGGGTTAGTTCCACCAAAAAATTCTCCACGAAGGCTAATTTATCATAATTCCCTTATCTTCTGCTATGTGATCAAAATAGCAAGCATACGGAGTTTAACATTGATTGTCGTAAACTCATAAGTGGGTCGGCTGTTCATCGTTAATTATAAAATAAAAAAATAATGTTAAATAATATTTTATTCAAAACATTGTCCATATAAAAAAGTGATTAGGTATCACGAATTTTCCTGTCGTTTATCTTTGCGATTTTCACATATTTTGGAAATTTTCAGTCAGTATTGTTTCCGTTTTCCTCATTTTCGAAGAACATTGCAATTAAAAGTTATAATTTTGGAATTTGTCAGAATGTTAAAAAGGGATGGAGGAATATGAAGTGATGTAATTCTCTCTGGCGTTTTAGAAGTGGATGAAGAACAACTGATTCATAGCGTACTGAGAAAAAGATTTTGGACAGTGCAATTGAAAATTGTATAGGAAAGAGAGGGACAGTGATTTTTAAAACAAAAACGTAATGCAGCCAATAACATATTGATTTGAAATGATATGATCATTTGAAATCATTTATAGAGGTTTCCGAATTAAAAAAAATTACCAGACTCTATATTTATATCACTCTTAAAATGTGAATAGTTTTATAAAAATTTAACATCACAAATTTTTTAAAGTAAAACAAACGTACAGCACGCAAATTAAAGAACGGTCAACCTGAATAACTTTTGACATAATGCTTAGATCTTCACGTTCTAGGATTCAATCTTTGGTTCAAGGGGGTGACCTCAAATATGCTAGTTAACTCGTAAAGAAAATTTAAGTTACGAAATCAGACGCAAAAACATACTTTCTCTAAATAAATATGCTTTTTCTCTGATGGATTCGGATTTCTGATCCTCAAAATATGGTCCGGATAGTTTGATCTGGAGAGCGGTTCGAAGTTTGGACCTCTTAATTTTACTTTTTGCGTAGTTCACCACATTTGGAGAACTTTTTAAGCCATTGGAATTTTTTTTGCACTCAATTATAAAATTACTTTATCCAAAGATTATTTCATGTAAAATCTAACTTTTAATAAATAATTAGTATTTTTATTATTTTATTTATTAAAAGTTGAAAAAATTTTGAGTTGTAAGGCATAAAAATTTTTACATCAATTTAAAGAATGAAATTTTGAATGATAGAATACAAAATCTGAGCGATATCGGTCGAATAGTTCCTGATAAATTGAATTTTGAAAAAATTGTATTTATGAAATTCGATTTCTCTGGAACTATTCGACCGAGTTTGCTGAAATTTTGTATTTTGCCATTCAAAGCTATATGCTTTTTAAAATTATGTAAAAAATTTTATACCTTACAATTCAAATTTTTTCTGACTATTATTAAATAAATTAATAAATAATAATAATATTTACTAAAAGTTATATTTTGCCCGGAATTATCTTTGGATAAACGAATTTTATAAGTGTGTGCAAAATTTTTTCAATTTGAGTAAAAAGTTCTTGAGATATGGTGAAATACGTAAAAAGCAAAGTTAACATCAAGGGGTCCAATTTTCGGAGCATTCTCCTCACCAAACTATAGGGACCATATTTCCCAGATTACGGCTACCCCCTATGACTTCAAGAGGTCAAAAATTGGAATTCGTCGAAAAAATTGCATGTTTATGCAGATAAAGTATCTATTTTATGTCTGATTTCTTAACTTAAAATATCGTCTGCACTAATTAATCAAAATTTTTGATGTCACCCCTTCGAACCGTTAAGATTGAGTCATAGAACCTGAAGATCCGATTATTAGATCAAAAACTATTCAGAGTGAACTGCTTATTTTTTTGCGCACTGTATATATTATTTTCTGAATTGATAAATTGTCTTCACTTTTATACATTTTATTTATATAACAAATATTAAGGATTTTTAATACATTTATTAGGATGTATTTGCTTAGGATACGGATTATTTTTAATAAAAAATAATAATTTTATATTTTTGAACTCCTCACACTGATTAAAATTTTTTTTAAACATTTTCTTAAATAACTACAAAAGTATCTAACCTTCTCGAAGCAGATTTTTTTTCTTTTGAGAATTTTTGATCTGAAACCCAAAGATATCTTCCTAAAGTATATAAGTCTTTTATCCACTGTAGTCATGAAAATTGCTTGCCCCAAAACTAATATCACGCAAAAAGTGTTTTAAAACAATATGTTATCACTTAAATTAATTATATTCTAAAAATAAAGAAAATTTTTCCATTTCTTTTAATACAAAATGATAGAAATTAATTGAATAATTTAAAGTTTTAATTTTTAAGAAGCGATAATTTTTTCTCAATCATATTACCAAGGTTAAAGAAAAATATTTTTGGTAGAAACTGGAAAAAAGTTCCCTCTCCTCCTAAAAAAAAGTTCTAGGTTTATTTTATCTATTTTTAAACCATTTTGTTTTTAATTTAGGCCTGATATTTTGTTTTAATTTAACCTACTTAAATTATTATTTAACTTCCTTCATATCTTTCGAGTAGCTATATTGTAAACTGTAACTAACTGTAAATTATTTGATCGTAAGTTATTATAAACTGCTAATAAATTTATTTTCTTTTGTTTAACTGGTCTTTCCATTTTCTTGTGATAAATTTTACAATTGTTTTGATTTGTCTTTACAATTTAACGCTGCATTTCGGAATTTAAATTTCTTTGCAAAATCTGCTTACTTAGGTCCCCTCTATCTGCTGTTACATTTTTGATACATCTTGTATATTGGTCGATGTTTGAAAATTTCAAATATAGAAAAAGCTCGATATAATGAGTACATTATAGTGCGGCAAATTCATTATTACGATATGTTTTCAAATAACCTTCAAAATATTTTTTCTAAAAATGCGAAAATTGTGTACTTAACGAGTTAAAAATTCCTAGTCATGCGCTATTGCGATATATTTTTTTAAGGGTAATATATTTTTCTGCTGTTTAAGTAAGCAATATTGTGCGTATATAAACCAACAGTCAATGTTATCAAAAGCTATTACTAGCTTTTATGCTTCGGTGTTTATTATTGCAATCTTAATTTTAAATATGCGCATTTACTTATAATGACAAGCACGCCATAATGATGATTCTAATAATTACTGTGAATTGTCGTTATAACGGGCTTTTTACGGTGTATGAATTTACTAATTTTATGCGAGTTGTTGTACGATGTTTGGAAGCAAATGAGAGTATTTTCAATCATTATCATTATTAAATTTACTGTCTCGAACAATTTGTTCCTTTGGCTGGGATCTGTAGCTTTTATCTTAGGGAAAAGGAAAAAAAAAATGATCGTAAGTGCTGCCGCGCCCATTCATTGATTTAATCAAACGGATCACTTAGTGAGATTTGTCCGTGTTTGTAATCATTCTGAGAATATTGTTATGAGTTTTGAATTGACTTTTTAAATGCAATAAACTCTTTGCGTGGAATCGGTTTGTGTATCTTTATTTTAGATTTTTTTTTTGTCTTACACAAACAATATTGTGCTAGTTGGAAAAAGTTTTAGTAAATAATGCATGTTATTTTTCTATGATAAAAAACCTTCCGAACACTTCTATAAATTTAAAAAAAGAATTAAAAAAATGTTTTGTTATGATTAATAATAAATTTCGTTTTGTATGGTTTATAAGCGTTAAATATTGCCATAAAAGAAGTTTTCTGTTGTGAAATAATTGCCTTATTTATACCATAAGAGGTAAAATGCTATTTATGAGTCTGGTTCATTTAATCGACAATCACTTCATTGACATTTCTTCGACACCAGCTCATCGACAGACCATTTCATCGA